TTTTGGTGTTGACAAGAGGAGGCAAAACACATAGATACGAGTAATACAACGATTATGAACAAACACTTCACAGTATCTCTGATCATCATGAGAGGTAAAATCTGGTCTGCCAGGATCAACACTTGAGAAAGAAAAGACATTTGTAATGTCTTAAGTACGTTTTCAATGCAGCAATGTGCCTTAATTTCTAGAGCAATGTTTCGTGTTGCACATGTTTTGAATACGTACATTGATACGCACGAGAGATGGCGATAACACATCGATAACCCGGATGCGCCTCAGTGCTCAGTCATATAGGGGGCGTATAGGGGATGTAGCCTATCCAGACATACAAGTGTACTCATCGTAATGTCTAACGCACGGTTCCTTGGTGTAGTGGTTATCACATCTGCTTTACACGCAGAAGGTCACGAGTTCGAGCCTCGTAGGGACCTAGACAGATTATTTTTTCTGTTTACTAGTAAGAAAAGAAAAGAAATATTATCTTATCATTGTTTCCGCCCAGGATTCTTTATCACTATTAAAAAATTAGTCCAATGTAGGAGCTCAGCATTCTCTGTCATTATAGAAGCAGTCATCACAGCCTTCAACGTTATCAATATGGTGGTACGTAGTTCTAAGTTTGACAATACAATGTAATTGGTTCATGTTAGTACATATGCATCAACAAGATCAGTTCCTCTCGATACCGCGGATAAAATAATCGCCGATATCGCCAGTCTTGACATCGTCTGCAGTGGGCCGTAGTCAGGCTAGGTGTGAGACGTGTTCCGGCCGGTGTTGGTCTCCGGTTCTGGTGTGGTCCCTGCCGCAACGTCCTGGCCGCAGAACTGGTAGTTTTTGTACTGCGGGTTGTATGGAGACCGGGCAAAACACTCGGCCAGCGCCTTGTCACACTCGCACACGCGGCGTCTCAGCGCGCTACGGCTCGCTGGGTAGGGGGAGAGGAATTCAGTGTCAAGCACATGTCTGGTCCCAACTTGACTTTTACAGCATGGAGGATGAATACGTGTGGCAGATACGGATATCCGGTAGGAGCATCAGACAGATGCACAGACATTTCTGTAGCGGACAGATGTTATGGGCGGGTGTAGTGCACAGGTGTAGAGGACCAGATGCTCTGGTTTAGTGTGGTGTATACGTATATGAATGAATGAGTGAATTCATGAAAGTTTGTTATTGTGTATATGTGTATATGTGCGGTGAACAGGTGCAGTGTATACGTGTATTGTATAGTTGTGGTATACAGGTGTAGCGGACAGGTGTCATGCACATATGTAATGGACAGGTACTCACTGCAGGTGACGGTCCCGTCCACACACCTGTAGCTGTACAGGATGAAGATGCCGCCAAACCAGCTGGGTAGGGCGTAGCAGTTGTCATGGGCAACGCAGCATCTACAAGACAAGACAACGATGGGAATATTTCACGGACCATATTTCACTGACTTCACAGAGACATCTGGCGATGTGTAAAAGAAGTGCAGATTTAGCGAAATTATGAAAAGAGAGCTAGTTTAAAACGGCAATAGCTTTCCTGGAGGATCAATGTTAGCATGGTATTTCATCCGTGTCGGTGATTGACGTTAAAGGAAAAAGCTCACCGATTTCTCGTTCATTTCAACTACAACCTTCTTCATGTCCGAATGACCTCACCAGGTCGTGGTCACGCCACGTGTGCTAGCGGAAGGGATTGTTCATTCGATCGAAAAGGTTGTCTATGAGTCCGTGTTTTTTTTCCGTATTATCAAAGCCACTCGACGACCAGTCGCTCATTTCCCCGCCCTGTTCTCACCTGTCTGTCTGGTCCACCGGTGCGGCCCCCCACCCCCCTCTGCCGCAGAAGCAGCCGTAGTTGTTGTACATGAGCAGCGCGCTGTGTCCGGTCACACACCGGATCACCCCGGACAGCGAGAACAGGTCGCGTCTCGTCCTCAGGGCACCCAGGGTCACGGCTGGGCTGGTAGACGCTACGTCAGACAAATACAAGCACGAATGAACAAACAAGCAAATTAAGAACACGTCGATGAAGGCTAGACATCCAGGTAGAATGTTACCAAAATACTAGTAAATCAAGCAAGTGGATAAATTCTCGGAAGAGTCAGACGTTTCACATAGCATCCCCTATCTTTAATAAGTGACTGAGAGTAAAACATCCCGTTGTGAGTAGCTCAAACCTTACAATCCGCGGTCTTACGCAACTGTTACATTGTACAAGACTGGCGTGTTACGCCTCAGATAGCCGGTTTACCGGTTATCTATGCGAAGCAAACGAACAAACAAGCTTACCAATGAGAATGACGCAGAGCCAGCCCGTGTAAAGTTTAGAGACCTCCATATCCCTGACCGCTCGGATATGACCGCGCGCTCGGAGAGAGAGGCAGACGGTGTTTACGTCTGTGCGGCTTCAGTGTTTGTACAGAGAAGCGGCCGTGTCCAGGTCTGTGTGTTCAGATGGTCCGGGGTGCACGTGTTGTGTCATCTCCAAACAGATGAGAGTTTGACTTACTCTTTATGTCCTGAAGAACTGCAAGTCAGTCACCCATGGTCAGAAAATAATATCACATATCTTCTTTGTATAATAGCAATTGCGGAAATGAAAGGAATATTGAAATGGAGAAATTTTTCCAATAATATTTTAGCAGATCGCGTGTGCCACATTGCGTTTGCCTGTTTGTTCGTCTGTCTGCTTAACAACTTCAGTATCTCCAACCAGATCGGGAGGCAATACAACCAGATCGTTACGATATCCCAGTTTGTACAGCTGCCATCTCCAAGGCTTGGAGATGTGGCTTAGGGTCGGTAACTAAAAAGCCTAGATGTCACCCTTGAGCACCAGTCCGGCCCTGACCCTGTATTGTGAATGATACAAATATTCAAACAAGTACATTCAAAAACGTATCTATAGTAACCACTCAATGGACTTGAAGAAAATGGTCCCTGACAGCTAGACCACAGGATTCATTTAAGCCTGGGGAAGTCCAAAGGATCACCAACACTGGGCCACAATTGCTAGATGGTTGTTTATTAGGCCTGTTTAACTGTAGCTGCATCTTATATCCTGTCTTTTATGAAATCGCACTTTCCGAAATCATAAAGTTCTTTTCACAGTAACGCTTAGAAGTAGATTCTTGGGTAGCGCTAACGCCTTCCTCTGTACGTCAGTCTCACCTCCGGCTTCCGTACAGAACAAACACCTGTCCCACCTGACCGCACCTGTCCACATCCCGAACGTTCTCACTACTTACCGTAAGTTCTGACACAACCTGTCTAGTTGTACGAGAAGAAACATGGCTCCGAGCGTGTTCCTGCTCCTGTTGGCGGCCGGGTACGCCAGTTCGCTGTCGCTCTACTGCCCGTGCCACATGCAGGCGGACTTCACCTGCCCCGAGCCGCCCACGGACTGCGAGCTGACGCGTGACGTGTGCGGCTGCTGCGACGTGTGCGCCAGTCTGGAGGGGGAGAGCTGTGGAAACGGGCACACCGGGTGGGCACTGATTATCTAATATCTGCGCTGAAAAGGGCAAGAAGAAGTCATGCCTTAAAATACCAAAGTTATCACCCTAGGATTAAAGTCTTAAAAACTATAACTATTGTAGAGTAGTACTCAGTGCCACCAAGTACAGCAGGGGCATTCTCACTAAACTGCAGCTTGATGTGCAAAGATTGGGTGTGACATGTCGTTCAGTGTAATAGCTATATATAAGCTCTTTACACCTGACGTCTCCACTTTGTCCTAATGACCTGTACGTGCACGTACAATGTACGTCCAGGTGCGCTAGCGGCCTGACGTGCGAGTACCCGGAGTGTGACACCACGGTACAGCAGGTGGTACAGCCGGACGGCTCCGTACTGGGGATGGTCAACCCCTGCGTGTACATGCCCTGGGCACCCGGAACCTGCCGGCCAAGCGGTCCGTTTGTTTACGTGTTTGTTTATTTGTTTGTGCATTCCGAGACCGATTGAGACCAAAGAAGAACATTTTTTTCATTCAAAGGGCATCGTGTAGCCACGGAGGCCCTACATCTGTTTGTGTATCAATCCCCAAGTAGGTCTTTCTGTGGCGACCAAACGGCAACACAGTGTCCAATCCAATCGATTGGATTAGTTATCTGCGGGTGTACATCTAACCTTCATGCCATTTGTTCCTCGTTTATCCATTATGGTATGGTTGTCTTTGTCAAACACTTGATTAATACAGGAAATTTCTGACGTCTTTCCAACTACTTGTAGAACGATAATTAGAAAAGTAACATATTGAACTGACATTGACCTTCTCCAGCAAAGCGCCAAGTTAGTGACGCTGTGGACACGATTGGTGATCAGCTGACTGACGTTATTTCTGGTACGGACGGCTGTCGGTTCGGTGACGTCATCATCGCTGTAGGGTCAACTTACCAGGTCAGCCTGATATCAACCTTTACCATGTGCACAGGGGACAGAAATGTCGTATAAATAGACATTTGTTATCAGCTATCAATGTACACATTTCATACCGTCCGGTAGGTTATTTATACACTAGTATGAAGTAAGCTGGGTGTGGCTTCGCCCAGACTGCAGTCATTTTCCAAATGTCAAGGTCACCTGCTTCAAGGCCTTGGATGGTAACTTTATATGCTCACTAGTTCTACGTGCTGTTTAAACAAGAGAGGGGGGCATGTACATGTACAGGCCTCTTTATCTTCTACAATAGCGTATATGAATTGTTAGTAACAGTGGCAGCCATTTCCAAGGCCATTTCCAATTTTCAAGGTCACCATCTTGAAAGTCAAAAATTTCAGCCTCAGATTTTGGAAGTTAAGTCACAGCTTCACATGTCGTTACTTAAATGGTAATTGGAGCCCTGCTACCCTTCTTCTGACATCTTCTTTTCCTCTGTCACCCTTCAAGTACCTAAAGAAACAGAATGTTTTTATGGTTGGAAACGGACGAAAATTGATAGGCCCGTGAATGTCATCCAAGCACTTTTTTTACATAACTATTTGTCGATGAAGGTTAGACATCCAGGTAATACGATATGCCAAAAAAACAGTTACTCAAGCAACTGGATATGATTTTGAAAACGTCAGACGTTTCAGCTAGTATCCACTAGTTTTCGTCAGTGACTGTTTTTTGGCATAACTATTTGCCTTTGAATTTTGTTCCAACCTAAACTGGCCGGTGTGTGTTGTGACCAACAGCCGGACGACTGTACTTGGTGCGAGTGTCTGGCAGCCGGAGAGGATCCGATTTGCCTGGCCCAGAGCTGTCCGGCGCCATCCTGCCCCAACCCCGAACACGTCCCGGGACAGTGCTGTCCCGTCTGTCCCACGGAAGGCTGTCAGTACGGCGACGTCACCATCCCCGTGGGGTCCAATCACCAGGTTAGGGTTAAGACTTCCAAGGTTTATTTCTCGTAATCGGCTAGCTGCCTTTAGTCATAACACGCCAGTTTTGTTCAGTAGGTACCTGCTGCGTACGACCTGGCTATGCAGTCTGGTCCCACTCACCCCGAGTTGAACCCTCCAATCTTTTCGATGTGTGTAGGATCTTGAGGTTTGGATCTCCTGAAATACGCCAGGCCTGGTCGGGGAGCAGTGAAGGTTGATGTAAGAGAACGTTTGTGAAGCCATAACGCATGGATGTAAAGATGTTTCTTAAACATCCGTTAAGGGTCCCAAATCTAAGGTGACCGGCGCTATGACATCATTGCCTCCGCCCCACAGCCGGATGACTGCACGTGGTGTTACTGCGAAGCTGCGGGACAGAGGCCTATGTGCGCGATCCAGGACTGCGCACCCCCGCCCTGTCACAGGCCCCACCACGAGCCGGGACGGTGCTGTCCAGTCTGCGACCATGTCGACATTCTCTGGCCATGGCAAGACCTGATGGACGGCTAGATCAAGGTACGGGATCACGGGATCTTGCATTTTTTAATATGTTACTACATCTAGATGTGGGATTACGTACGTACGGTTAGATCAAAGTACCGTGAGGATCACGGGATCTTGCCTATGTGGGGCTTTCATTTGAGGCAGAAAACATCGACGTTCATTTTGGATTTACTTTTAAAGCATATGTGCTGGTTACAAGAGAGCATTCATGTGTGCTCTTTTACTTATGTTTGTTGAACGAAATCTAAGGAAATGGTATGTTGCAACAAAAACTAAATGGGCCCTAAATGCCAAACAGAAAAAAAGGTAACCGTCTAACAATATGTTTCCAAAGCTCAGAGGTAAGGATTTGAAAACTGAAACCATTCAGACAATTTCTTTATTTGTTAAATTTTTGGTATGGCTTAAATTCCTCGGTTTTTCATACTTCTGTAGATCAGTCTGGGAACGAGACAGTCTGGCGGTATCCGGAACGAGAACGGTGGATGTTTGAGTTTTCCCAAATAAAGTTTGATCTCCATCAAAAATTATCGCTCACCTCGTCTTTTCTTTCTCAAAGTGATTTTGTTTCTACATACCTTCATCAGTTAGATCATGATACCTTCTATTACGGCTTAAGAATTCTCTTTTGTCCTTCCTCAACACATCTTCAATAGTTATATATCGATCAATCCAATTTGAATAAAACAACACAAAACCCTTCTCCCTTTGTATTGACCTTTACTTCCGGCTTCCATATATAAACAAAGCCCCTTCCCCCACTCACCCACGCCTACAGACACCTGTTCCTAAGCCCAACTTTCTCACCTTCAGAACACGCAGTAAGACAACATGGCAGTCGTTTGTCTGTTTCTCCTCCTTTTGATGGTTGGACGGTCCCCCTCGCTGTCCAGCCCCTGCCCCGGGGACCCCATATGTCCTGACAAGCCGGCCGGCTGTGAGCTGGGCAGTGACGTCGACGCGTGCGGCTGCCTGGTGTGCCGCCCGGTGGAGGGGGAGGCGTGCGGACTGGCAACCAGCTTGCCGGGGTGGGTTATGTCTGTCGGCCTGTAGTACTGCACATTTCTCTCAACCCGTAGACCTTGTTTTGGTGACTTTGGCTCCTGCAGAGTGTAATTTTCTGCTTGTATGAAAAAACAACTACCGTTATACGCCACTCTCAAACCCATGCCAGGTGTGCTAGCGGCCTCACGTGCACGCACTTTCTGTCGGGGACGTGCCAGCGATCACGGGCTGCGCCGGACGCACGGATCGACGGTAAGGCTTAGGAACAAAAATATTGTTTCCGGTTCCCAGACGGCCTTAGTGCAAAAACCAGTCAATCTTAGCAAAAATTTTTCAGGGGTCGCCTGTATATGTAACTGAATCAATCAGTCTTCTTCAGCTATCTGACCAACTGACCCAATCGCCCGGGACTCGTAACCCGAGAGCTATATGCTCATGTGACGTCAGAAGTGGGACAAAGTTTGTTGGAAGTCGAGATCATCCCCCGTCCCGGTTGTCAGAGGGTTGCTATGCCCTGATGTAGACGGCTTCCTTTACACCTCTAAGGAAGTACTTAGTATCCATAATCTTTCCTCCAACGAAACTGTGTTACCCAGAAACTCAGCTAACTACATATTGTGCCCTGTTAATTCGACACCTTTCATTTTCAGCAGAACCGCAAGAAAAGGACGTCCAGCCGGTGCCGATCGTCGGCTTGGTCCCATACTGTGATCACGTGGCTGACGTGGAAGGCTGTCAGTACGGTGACGTCACCATCCCTGTTGGTGTGGAATGCAAGGTGAGACCCAAGGTCACTGCCCAAATGCCGTTTCTGGTTGTCGTCCGATAGTCGGTACTTAAAGTTCGGAAGCCTGAGAGTGGTTGGTCATATTTCTGTTGTCGCTTTATAATTTGCAGTGCAAATCTATCATGTGTGTCTTGTTCCCTTTGAAACTACATATCGTTTGTAATGAGAGTGTATTTGAGGCCTTTCTGTGCCAAGTATAGGTAGTAGTATAGTACGTTTCAAACCACGGATTATTTTGCACCACGGATTATTTTGGGAAGTTTAAGGACGGTTACAATGGATTGGCAAATACTCGACGTCACGTTCTCTTTTTGGTATATTCGGCAAACAGCTATCGTGTCGAAAAACTGTGCATGTGCAACCCTGCCCCGAGCGGTTACCTGATGTCTACAGACGTCTGATATATGTATATATAGATATATGTGTGAAGCTATATAAAGCCGCTAGAAAGTGTCTGTGGAAGACCTTTTTACCTTTGCCAAGGTTACGTTTTCGGCAGCGTTCGTGTGTGTACTCGTATGTGTGTCTGAGTGTCAACACGTTGTTACAACAAATTCACGAAAACTCAAATATTTCCCTGGAGTCTGACATCCCCGCTCTTGTTTTTTTATCGACAGGTGGACGACTGTACGTGGTGTGCGTGTCCTGTGGCTGGGCAGAACCCTGTGTGTGTTACCCAGGACTGCCCGCCCCCGCCCTGCCCCGTCCCCGTCTGCATCCCCGGAAAGTGCTGCCCCGTCTGCCACCCTCCGCAGCTGTAAAATCAACGGATCAATCAATAGATAGATAATTAAATAAATCGAACGACTAGCTGGTGTGTTGCGCTGAATGGTGGTTATACGGCTATACATATACATATACTGTATATACAGGTCAGTGAAGAAAGCAAGTAAGCAATTAATAAAGTATTACGGGCTAACACGATGACATGATATCTGTACATGTGTGCGAATTCTGTATGAATATCTGGGCACCCCGTCCCGTCCGCGGATCGTCTCCATAGTTATATTTACCATTCAGTTACCTTTCATTTCCAGATCTATAAAGAATATTAATGTTTACAACGCAGTCTCCATTTCAATGACTTCACGTGGAAGCAGCTCCAACAGCCTCTGTTCTAGCCCGTCTGGAGTCGGTCTTGTAGCAGGGACGTCGCGCCAACACGCCCTCATCAGTCGGTACAGGTCCTCCGGACATCCCGGTGGCCTCGTCATCCGTATGCCTTGCCTCAGAATCCCTACCATCTGAAGAAAACTCAGATGAACCCTGCCATCGTAGCACGGATCTTGTCCCAGCGTGGCGATCTCCCACAGCAGCACGCCGAAGGACCAGACGTCACTCTGACAGGTGTACTCGCCCGTCTCGATGGACTCCAGCGCCATCCACTTCAGTGGAAGGAGTTCGTCAAGGCCTGGACGGTTGCATCGGACATACTGTGTGGTGGTGTAGACATCTCTGGCCAGGCCAAAATCAGCCAACTTGGCCACGTCATCGGTAGTGATCAGGACATTGCGAGCGGCCACGTCACGATGGGCGATCCTGAAGCGTTCCAGCTCTTGAAGAGCTCGTGATATGTGGACTGCGTATCCAAGAAGATTTCCAAGTAGATTTTCCCGATCGACGTTCCCTATCCCCCGTAACAAACCGAGCAGGTCACCCTTTGGGGCATATTCCAGAAGAATGTACTTCTCCACAGACTTGGTGATGAGCCCCACAAGTCGAACAACGTTTGACTCACGGCTATCGCCATTCTGGACTTGGTGGACAGTCACCAGTATGGCCGCTTCTCTGTAAAAGTCTCGGTAGGACTGTGGGTCTTTCACGCGAACTGTCTTTGCGGCAACGGCGATCTCTCCCTCAGGTGTGCGCAGTTTTGCCCTTCTGATTTGTCCAAACATTCCTTCTCCTATCAGAGGACCAGGGGTAAGATGGTGGATATTCTTCTCCCAACGTCTGAGCCAGCCCGGCTGAAGACTCTGTGCTAGGTCCCGCTCCATTCTCCTCAGCTCACGCAGAACTTCGGCTTCATGATCGTCGTTTTTCACGAAGCAGCCAGTCTTGTAGAGCACGATTAGTACGGTAACAACTAGGAGTATGGAGCCCAGAGGAACAAGGATTTCGATCAGCGACGTGTCCTGAGCGACGTGAAGCTTGTTACAGTTCCTCCCTCCCCACGGCGGCACACACGCACAGCCGCCGTCCACGTGGTGACAGGTGGCGTTGTTCTGACAGCTGCAAACCTGCCGGCACCGCCAACCGTACCTGCTTTTGGGACAGAGTCCGCCGCAGTTCGATCCGTACCAGCCGGCCGTGCAGTTACACCTGCCGTCGCTAGGGCTACAGCTCGCCCCATTTTGGCAGGTACAGGTATTTTTACAGTCTTTACCGTACTTGCCCTCCGGACATTGTGTCCGACACCTGGTTCCCGTCCATCCCGGCGGACAGACACAACCAGCCCACCGGTCACAGCGGGCACCTTGTAGACAATCACACGATTCATCACAGAGTTCGCCTTTACTATTTGATGGGCAGTTGACGTTTAACAAAATTGTTGCAATGAAAACTTTTCCGCTTTCGTCTCTGGCCCGGCACGTATAGCGACCTTCGTCGTGTAACTGTGCATTGAAAACCATTATGTCTAGTTGATTGACACCTTTACTCATGATTTCAGATCCATTTGGAAGCCACAACGACAAAGATTCAACATCAATGTGGTACGCACGACAGTGAAACGTCACGTTGGTGGAAATGTAGATGTCCCACAAACCGCTAGGAGTCGTTGTTGCGGCGATGTCAGGTTTAGGAATGTCACAGGCTACACCTTGCCAGCCGCGTTTACATTTACATGCGCCATTAAACCCGTGGCAGCGGGCGCCGTTCTTACAGATACAGGTTTTATCGCAGAGCAAGCCGTATTTCTGGACAGGACAGCCCTGCCGCTGGACGTCTATGCCCAATGACTGCACGTGTACAAGTCTGGTCGGGTTTGGAGGTGTGTTTATTCTGACTGGTTTTCCTATCGGGGGAAACTGGCAGATAAAGCCTACTGTGCTCGGAGTCGGGAATGTTAAAGTAAAAATGACGCAAAAGTTTGGACGCCAACCAGGAACACCCATGGGTGTCCCATGTGACAGGCGGATAACAAGTTTGGTGCTGCTGACGTCTGCACGACAAGATAAGTTACGGAAGTTCCCGAACCACAGTTGGTCTGCAATTACTACATCATTAGAGGAATGTACTAACCATATCTGCTCTATCTGACAATTACTGTTTTCTGCGTCGAAAAATGGCGTTAGACTGCTCCACCTCTCGAGGGGCTTGCTTATTGTCCATCTACCCGCAAACACGTCCCCGGTGTCTGTCTCGGCTTCCACGTTTAAGACAAACCTGAATAAAAATTCTCCAGTGTCCTTACCGGTGGGGTTGATGGGAGTTTCACACGTCTCGTTATACACGGGAGGATAGCCCGGGACGTCGGTTACCTGTATCGCCACATTCGTGACTTCTCGGCGACGCCCGACGAGAATCTTGATGTTATATTCCGGCTGTACTGACCAGTCCAGGGGGTTGGCGACCACAAGGGCGCACTCCTCGGTCAGCAGGAACCTGTCGTACGGATCTCCCTCCGCTTTCACACACGGAAGTTCCGCTTTCTGTGTAGCCGGCCAGTGTTCCTCACCGACAACCTCTGTCCCGACTCTGGCATTTTCAGGCACGGAAACGTCGAAGCTGCGCCCCTCCGCTAATCTGGTCCGACTAAAGACGACGTAGACACTAATCAGAAGAGTAAGTACCAGGTTAACCGCCATAATTTTGTATATCCATACAGAGGGAGGTTACTGGCAAACCGGGAACCCACACAGGGACACAACCTCCACAACTCTCTCCCGTGTTCCGTATTAACAGCAGGCTTTATCAGTGACATTTTATGTGGAAGTGATGTCATGCTTTGTTGACTGTGTTTTGTTCCTTTAGTACGAAACTGCGGAACTTTCTTGCATTGTCAACATAGAAGGAAACAAAATCAAAAAGGGGGAATAAGAAGTGTTTAAAAGACAAATGATGGCAACATCCAGTTTGATGTCAGAAACAGTCCTCTTTATACAGATATACAGGAGCAACAACAAATTATTTATACAGAGCTTCTCTCCAAACAAGCAGGTACTACGTGTAGTCACCTGGTCCCACACACCACATGTACACCGGTAACTCTATTGTTGGAAAGACACTTGGAATTTGGAAAATCAACTAACTTTCAGTCTTGTATTTCAACCTTTTGCTAAATGTACAGCAAAGTTTCACATATGAATTGGAAGAGCTTATATCTACAGTCAAAACTGCCCAAGGAGACCCCCAGGGGACCAATAAAATTGGATCTACGTGGACAGGATTTTGAATGCTTGTGTCAATGGGAAAAGTTATCTGAAAGATCACCAAAAAGAGGTCACATTGAGCAGGTCATCCTTATGTAGCTAGAGGCAGTCATTTGTACATACTAGTATTTGATTGTATCTAAGTAATAGCATGACCTAGTGTATTTTGTGTCTGCTACAGTACAAGAGGTAATTTTGTATTTACCAGTAGATTTTTCAAATTTCCAATGCCTTTATAGAGTTACAAGTGAACAACAGTGTTTGCAGGATTCTGCTCTTGGCTGCAGCTATGAGACATGCAGCATCACTATAGGATCACTATAAGCTGACAGTTATCAACAGTAGAAACGGATAAAGTTTTGATAGAATTTTACACAAGGGAATATGGATACAACAAGCATTCATACTGGTATTTCTCTGTGCACCCTTGGTTGTAGAGTCCTTAAGTCCATTTACATTATCCTTCAGCAATCTATGGATACACAGTTTGTACTGGTATTGCTACATTACTGAAGGCTAACAACCTTTTCATATTGCTGCATTTCTGCCTTGCTTGTTTTCACACAGCACTGACTGTACATTTACAATTTACTCCTAAAGTTACACATCGTTGCACCAATGATATTGGGTCAGCCTGCACATATCAGCATGTGCAATTTAAGAGCTTATAACCATTTTTGCTTGAACAGAAATGTTTTCCAAATAGGATGAAAACAAAAATAGAAACATACCTCTTCTACACTCCAAACAGAAAGCAAACACTTTCATCCTGGCTTCTCAAAGGGTTGAAAAAGTTCAATGAAGAAATACTGATTGTAATCATGACTTCCCCTCCTCATGTAATTGCAACTACAATGTAGTTGCCTTCAAGATGTGTTTAACAAACTACATACAATATTCAATTCAATAAAATGCAAAGGTCTCATGATGAACAGACCAATTTCCATGACAGCCTATCGAGCCACTGCTGTAGTGGCTGCCAGCAAGAGTTCAACAGTTGCTGTTACCCCCAAAATCACCAAAGATACATGTACAAACAGATGTGGAAGGGGGTGATTATGGAGGATACTATACATTAGAAATTAAAAGAAAACTGATCAAGAGACAGTGCACCCCTTCCCTTGCCCTGCCCAGACCTACATGTATCTATGCAATGGTAGTTTTGATGTTACACAGGCATGTTCTGTGCTGCAACCTGACCTGCACAGGTACAATTTTGTACTACCTGTAACAACCTATTAATGCTCTGAAACTAAAATGATTGCCCCCCCCCCACTTTATAACAGCTGTTCAACGTGTTCCCTTTGAGTTTAAAATTGTGCCTTACATTTCTACAAAATCTGATGATTTCAGAGAGGATACTAGAAACTTAACATAGTCTTTGGGCTTGTATGGTTTTCAGAGGTTCCTATTCCTCTATGTAAGTGTTGGAATGAATTTACATGCTTTGAGTACCCATTTTGTTCCTACAGTTTTTAAAACAAGGGACTTGTCCATACAGTCAAATGTAACAGCACTGATTGCCCCCCTCCCCCCTTGTTGTGTACTATATCTCATCTCTGGGCCCTGCGGTACAGCACCACCAGTCCCAACAGCAAGGCCAGCAGGGTGCACAGCCAGATGTCCCACTCTGGCCCAAAGTAGGTCTCCAGGTCCACTGTCCACAGCTGGCCATTCTGCAAAAAAAAAAGGTTGGTCACCACAGCATTGTCTCATGCATTTTGGAGCATAATCCTAACATCCTCAACTTCATCAGGGCTAGTTAGTGTTAGGTAAGAGAGTTACAGACAGTAAGCATTAGTTATTGACAGTTAGCTCACCTGGCCTGCTTGCTCCAGGTACTCCATCCCATAGAGAACCCCCAGTTTCATCAGAGCAAGGCTCACGGGCACCTGGGCATCTGCACTGGTCTCTGCAGCCATGTCGTAGAACCGCTTGGCAAGGTGGATGTCCTACAAGAACATAGAGGTTCAGATTCTATTTTCCAGAATGTAAATGAATAAAAACAATATTACCTGCATCATTGGTTACCAGGATTGTTGGGGAAAGGAGGCCTTCACATGCGCTTACAGATTTGTTTGGACTTAAATCGTACAACTTTATCATATTTTGTCTGACATTTGACTCTCCCTAATGACCTCAATGAAAAGTGGCCAGCAGGCCTATTTTATGATAAAGAAACAAGAAAGAAGCAAATAAACAAACCTTCTTCATGCCGAGCCCGTTCTCGTGCATGTAGCCCAGGTTGAACATGGCCTGAGCGTTGTGCTGCTGCTCAGACGCCAGCCTGTAGTGCGTGGCTGCGATCTCGTAGTCCACTTCTGTCCCGTACCCGTAGTAGTGGTAGTCGCCGAGCTTCACACGTGCCACTGTGTAACCTGTAGGGAAAACATGAAGAGCTGAAGCCAGGACCACTTTTGTACATCATTCTGAACAGTAAGCACCATATTTACGACAGAATTTGCAATGAACTTATTACTGTTCGCAAATCAAGAAGATTGGACTGACCTTGAGCTGCAGCACGACCCCAGTGAAGCAGCGCCCTTGGATAAACCTCTTCCTGACCAACCACATGAGTTCTCGCTGAAAATGTCAAAGTGAAAAGTGAGCAGGTGTTCCTACTTATGTCAAAGTGATGGGCAAACTCCTCTGGAGGGAGGCTCTGCTATATGTTAGCTTGATGTTCTTGTTTATGCATCAACCACTAAACATCACCTTTCTCCAGCCCAGAAAAAGCTGGGACTGCAAGTTTGAGCATCATCAACCTATAAGCAATTTGACGCAAACTGAAACTCCTTACAAAGAGGTTTTGGGGGGTAATTAACATGTCTTTGCATGCATGTAATATGACTAGTTGCTATTGTTTTGTAGTATCTTACACAGAAACCTATGCCTGATACATCTCTGGTCCTGTATGAAGGAAATGTTCCTTTGTGCAACCTCATACCCAAGCTTGGTGAGTGTTAACACCTGACCTCTAACCCTGACACTCACATCCTTGATCTAGTATGAAGGCGACATTGCTCTGTGCGACCTCGTAGCCCAGCTCGGCCAGCAGGGTGTACATGACCAGCGCAGAGTTGCTGTTCCCGTCCTTGTACTGGTTGTGGGCCTCCATCATCAGCTCTGACCAGCGGCCACGCTCCGCAACGTTCTTGAACAGCTGAACAGGAAGAGAGCTTGTCACACTTTCTGATAGTTTTACCCTTACATGATAACAAAACCCTTACATGATAACAAAAACAGGAGGGAAGGCCCAAGATTTCCAGGTTTGGACAGGTAGAAGTAATACTTCATCAAGCTTATCAGAAGACCCTGCAGAACCCACCTCGACTGCCGTGTGGCATGACCGCATCATGCCCGTGCCAGTGGCGTGCATCTGCGCCAAGTTGTAGAAGGCAAGCACATGTCCCGACTGCGAGGCCAGGTTGAAGTACTTGATGGCCATCTTGTAGTCACGACGCACACCGAGACCACCTGGGGAAAGTACAATGTCAGGCTGGGCAAAATGTTCCAGGTCTCACCATCTTAGATAATACCAGACTACAACTAAGACATCACTCTGCAGCTGTTTGAATTTCATGTGTGTGTATATATACAATGTACATGTTTGTGTGCACATACATGTATGTGTCTGTGTGTTTAGGTGTGTGTATACATGAACTTACTTTAGTACATGATGCCTGGCTGTAGCTGTTTAATGTGTGTGTTTGGGTGTGTGTTTATGCATACTTACTGTAGTACATGATGCCCAGCTGCAGCTGCCCGTCCACCCATCCCTGCTCAGCTGCCTGTGAGAAGTACTTGAAGGCCTTGCTGTAGTCTTGCTCCACCCCCTTCCCGTACATGTACATCAGCCCCAGCCCGCTCTGACCCACCGGGTTCCCCTGCTCTGCCGCCTTCTTAAAGTACTGGAACGCCGTGTTGTTGTCTGGCTTCACTGCGTCACCTGCTCCTTCTGAGTGCATCTAGAGAATTCAGAAAGAGAAAGCATTTATATTGGACTGCATAACAATGTTTTGTGTACATAAAAATTATATATACAACAAACCCAGTGCCTACATTCATCATTCATTTTGATTGTAAAAAAAATCCTTAGGGATAACTCCTTACTTTGCCGAGGAAGGCCATGGCGTTGGCGTTGCCTGCTGCTGCAGCCTGTTGGAAGTAGTCGAGCGCCCGCTGGTAGTTCTGCTCCACCCCCCTCCCACCCTGGTAGTTCAGCTGACCCAAGCCAACCTGCACATGAAAAAAAACACAAAAATTACCAACAATACCAACCTGATTGAAATTGAAATTGTTTAATTTTGCAGATATTTGATTCTGCAGGAGAAGAGGAAATGATTTTTTTTTTTGGTGATGTTCCGGAGTTCAGTAGTGACACATTGGAAATGAGTATTTGTGGTGTCACAAATATGCAGTGAGGAGGCCAATGTGAAAATAAATCCACCGCAAACATTTCATGATTTGCAGTACTGTATTTACTGTACCTGGGCCTGGACATCCCCCTTGTCTGCCAGGAACTGGTAATACTGGATCAGGTCGTCATCCAACATGGCGCTGTTTCCTCCGGGATTCTCCACCTCATCATGCAGCCGCACTCGCTGGACCGCCGCGCCACCCGACACTGAAACCTCCTCCGCAACTGCATGGGGATGAACCATTCGTTAACCTTCTCCCTGCTGAGGTGAGCCTTATGGCACCAACTTTGTATTGGTAACAGGGTTACTTTGCATTGTTTACAGGGTTATGCAGCTGGAGGAAGTTATTATGCAACATGTAAATGTAAAATGTGTCTGTCCATCTAGAGTAAGACAGAATGCAAATGTGCCCCAAATTTCTTTTACCAAATCCTGGCTCCTGGCTTCTGGCTCAAGCTGACTTACAGAATGTTATCAGTAAAGCTGATAAAGCAGATTGCCTTCATTTTAGTAAAAGCAGCAACTATGTCTCCTACCCATAAGTAAACTCACCCTTGTTGGAGACCATCCTGTAATAAGTGAGGGCCGACTCACAGCTCTGGGCCACTCCTATCCCTGACCAGTACCGGTAACCCTGCAGGACAAAAGGGGGGTTAAGAAAAACTTCACAAGGCACAGTGATGATATGAACACTACTGCAGTGTGCATACTGACAAAAGCAGTCATCAAAAGATTTTTTGGACACAGACTTTTGTGTCCAGTGAAATAGACCAATGTAAGAAATAATGATATGGAGGTACTTACTAGGGCCATCTGTGCTAGAGGATCCCCACCAAGGGCAGCAAAGGTGTAGTAAACCAACGCCTGGGAACATTACATAACATACAAAACTTTCAATAAAATACAACTATGTAAAGCTGACATGTTACACAACATGGTTAATACATAAAGCAGTTGACAAACAGGATACAAAGTACAGGACTGAATACTTGATGTTGGTGTTTCCAGCAGCTTTTTACTGATTTCATTTCATTGTCATAGGTGCAGACAAAGCAGACTCACCTTAGCTTGGCTTGAGTTGGTACTAATACCGGCTGCATACATGAACCCTGATCCCTATTATGGGCATACAAAGTGTTTCATGTTGAATACATTGTTCACACTCCAACTGTAAATGCACACCTGGTGTTAAACTATGAGCTGGTTAACAAGATATGCAAATATATAGATAGTAACCACAAGAAAGTATTATCAAACAACAAAAAAGAGCCAGTGTTGTACCATCTGAGCCTTTGGGGACCCCTTGTCTGCCAGTTCCTGTAGGATTTCCAAGGCGCGGGTGACGTTGTGTGACAGGTAGTCTCCATACAGGTGAGCAAACCCAACCAGCTCCTGGGACTCTGTGTGGTTCAGCTCAGCTGCTTCCAGGAAGAATGTGTAGGCACTAAACAAACCAACACACAACATGATAGAGTCATGTTTTATCATGAATTAATATAACATTGCTATCAAGCATTGCAATACACACCTTCAACCTGCAACTGACCAAACATTTTAGATATGGCACAAAAAATGTTAACAACTACCTTAGGGCTACAGACTTCGTCTCACAGTCAATAATGAAGTAAATTTTGAGCCCTGCTGTCTTCTTAAGTATCATAAAAACTGCCATTTACTAATGACAACACTGTATATGTATATATGTAAATGTTGATATTAAACCTAGAACAACAAATGTACAAATGGACATTTTTAGGTTTTAACAATTGTGGGTGGGGCTATAGCTACAGGATTGGTCTATACCACAGAATTTCCCAAGGGAATATCTAACAGGAAAAGTTACACTCTTACCTTTTTTGGTCTGACTTCTTTGTGCTGTTTCTAAGAGCCATCCCTTCATTGTACAGCCTTTCAGCTGAAAATACAACAAAAATGGACAAATTTAACATTGTCTCTACCCCATCTGATAGTTCTATAAGACTGAAGAAAGGAATGTTCACGATATTCCTTCATTTATATATTGACTTTTTCAAATGGCTGGTTGGTCCCATTCAACTGTCAAATTGTTTTTCAAGGGGGCCCAGTCTACTGTAAACACATAAAATCACCAACATTCTTTGATTGAAGCATGCACAGAGAAATTTATTTTTCATCTTTAATCTGACATGGTTTGAATACAAGTATATGAAATCATATTCAGCCCACCCTCCTTCTCCTTCTCCAACTGTTCCCTCCTCTCCTCTGTCATTTCTTCTTCCTCTTGGGGCTCCATGCCTGACTCCCCTGAGGTGGGGGGCACCTCTGAGGGGGTGGGGGGCTCCTCCAGGGGGTGGGGATCAGGTGGCTGTTCTGCGTCTTCCTGTTCAATCTGAGAACCAAAGAAACCTGCCTGATGTGGAGGCATAGGTGTGGTGGAGGGGACTGGGTTATACTGGGGCATGGGCACCTCTATACCCTTCCTATAGTACTCCTGTGATCTACCTATCTCTGGGCCAGGAGTACTTTCCTCTCCCCCCTCCCGTCCATCTACAGAGCTCCCCTCAGTTCTCTTCTCAGCCTCCCTCTGCTGCTGTAAGGCCCGGGCCTGTCTCTGAGTGGCGGAGTCGCGCATCGTGGGGCGTGTCTGGATGTATCTGTCCTGCTCCTCCTCGTAGTGCTGCCTCTGCAGCTCCCTGAACCGCCGCTCCTCCTCGGGGGTCAGCCGAGGTCGGGCCATCTCCGGCGGTGGGTCCTCCTGAGCGTTATCCTGCTGCTGTTGGTTACCCTGATGACCATGATTGTAACCACAGATTAATAACCGAACTATGGTTCACACAAAACCGTATTTCACAGCTGTACTCTGTTTTTACTTTCATTTTGAATACACAAACAATGTACAGGAGAAATGCATGCTGTGTTAATTTTCAAGTCATACCATACAATGGCATTTCATTTGGTTTGACACAACAGTAAAAACCTGAAGACCACGTAGGGGACCCTGCGTAAAATAATCTAAGGGACCATCAAAAGCTGCTTACATAGGCCTGATTGTTCTTATGAGGAGGTGGTCATTTGTAGTAGTTGACAGTAGTCTTAAGACTAAAGAAGATTGCAAATGTAAGAGGATAGTCAAGATGTGAAGTCGATGATGACAATTCAGTCCTTGTAGATCTATTACTAGTATTAAATCAGTATACTATAAGTATAAATGTAGTGTGCTTGACATTATGCTTGCAATTGAATGTGAAGTTAGTCAGGGATAAAACAGAATAGGCCTGAATTCTATGGAATTCAAAGATATCAGTATTACATGCACTATGAATCTAATGTATGTCACAGAGTCTCAGAGAAGTCTCAAGTAAGCCACAAGAGGTTGATACCTTGAAATAGAATCATGCAAGTATGATGAAAAACAGAGCATCATGTGTATCAAGGAACTACAAGACTACAGAGAAGAGTTTGCAGTAAATGCACAATAAACATACTAGTGATTGTAAGTGGAAATTGCAGTTCCCTATATGCAAGTTGCAGCAATTTGATGAAATACAGTTGAAAGTAATGGACAAAGTCAATGTTAGTCACCTTGGGGAATCTTCAGTATGTTGTGTATCCCCCAAAAGAAAAAAAGGACTACTTATATCTGGTCAAAAGATTTTAATATCTTGAAATGACCTGTCTAAAGCTTTAAACTGTACTGAAAGTAAATACTACAATGTAGTAATACCTTGGATACATTGATTACAAAGTGCAAGTTAAAAGTGGTAAATGCACCTTTCCATTGGAACTTTATAGACTCTTTAACAACAAAACTAGGATAAATCTTATTTCATACTCACATTCATTTCTTCAGCTACAGCCTCTTGGGCCCTTCCTATAATATCTGTAAATGTAAGACAAAATTATGTGGTAAAACATATGGGTGAGAAAGCTCCTCTTTTTTACAGAATATGTAACTGCTTAGGCCACTTGTTCTTGGTGTAAGGAGAGACATACAGCTTACTGCGGACATAAGAAGATAGTCTGAATCATCTGGTATAGTTTCTAGTGTGCATGTACACTTCACTAAACGTGTTCTTCGGTTCGAACAGATCAGCCACGTTAACTCACCTTGTGCTTGTGTGACACTAACAAACATCACTGCGGCTAACAGGCACGCTTGGTGCGGTCTAAGAAGCTTCATTTTAAAAGTTCCCGTGGCTTCTCCGTAGCAGCTGTGGCAAGATCGCGCCGGCGGGGTTCCTTGAGAAGGGATACACAGAGACTCGCCTCTGGGTCTGACCGGTGGGGAGGGGGGCACGGTCACTTCCTGGTTGAGCCGTTTTCACGGAAAAATCGAACCGTGTGGGCCGCTGTCGACGATCTTGTTGAAAAGCTAGACAGATGATGAGAGATTATGTTGTTAGGAGTACTTCAAACCCTTTTTAGATCCATTTCGTTGCGTCATGTTAGCTCCAGCTCAAGCCAAATATCATAAACAATACAGGTCCGCCACGTATTTTTTGCAGACAGCTTTTCCGGTTGTAAGGCGGTCTCTGATTGGTCCGGTTAGAACGTGACCTTTCTGGGGGAACACGCCACATTTCGTGGACTCATGTTGTTCCAATATTGTCAGAACAATAGCCTTATACGTGACATCTGTAAATTTTCGGAGAAAGAACAGGCAATAATAAACAATTCTTAAGTGAAATTGGACAAAAATTGGCCAATCACGAGTTTCCTTACATAACATACAATCACGCATGCGTGAACTCAGCAGACGGATGACCTTTGACATATAGTTCTGGGATGGGAAAGAAGTGGAATTGCTGTAGTATAAAGTTTGAATTACACCCACGCTGTATTTCTGTGGGCCTATAAAGCTCACATTAGCATCAGTCTGCAGGATATCCTATAGTATAACTGACCTTTCCTTTATAAAGCTAGCCCAGTCAGTTTCTCAAGAAGTGCCACGCCCTCCAGCAGCATCAGCACCATGGATGAAGAGAAGCAGAGACGCTCAGCCAGCCTCCAGCATCTCCTGAGACCTCCATCCAACCCGGCGGAACACGAGGGGCTCCAGATTTCTGACGACATGTTCGGCGGGTCGGCCAGCTCTGACGATGCCAACTCCAGCTCCGAGCTCAGCCTCTCTGACGACATGCTGGTAGTCACAGGTTTGGAGGAGGAGGATTCAGAGGAGATGGGGGATGAGGATGAGGACAGAGGGGAGAGTGCTGATGATGGAGGGTGGGCAGCCAACATTGCTCACTTCGACCCCCCGTGCTTCAGCGACGGTGAGAAGGTGGGACCTGTCCGCGACATCTCGCCAAACACCCAGCCAATCGACTTCTTCCACATGTTGGTCCCCGAATCCCTCCTGAGCGCCATCGTCCAGCAGACCAACCGCTACGCTCACAAGTACCAGCTGAAGAATGGGCGTGACGAGGAGTGGAGAAACGTGGACCTGGCGGAGCTGAAGGCGTTCATGGCCATCTTCATGTACACCAGCATCGTGCACGGTATCTTCTCAGAAGACATCACCACCGTGTGGGAGGACAACTCCATAACGTACAACCCTGTCATAGCCAGCATCATGACCCAGCGCCGCTTCCAGCACATCATGCAGTACTTCCACGTGGTGTCGTCCAGCGCCCAGCAGCAGAGTGACAGTCTGCGCAAAATCCGCCCCTTCCTCGAGGCCGTGCAGAACTCCTTCCGGAATGAGTTCAAGACTGCCCAGGTGCATGATCACTTTCACTTTTCCCATCATATTTCATATCTCAAACTAGCAGTTTCAAGGATACTTGATAGATATTACTTTTCCAACATCAATATTTTGTAACTTGTCAAATTAGTTCATTTATTTACGAGTTGGCTGTTGAGCTCATTATCTGGATTGACTGGATGCTGGCCGAAGAGATTGTGTTTACCTTGGTTTATGTACTACCAGTAGTACTAGTACTAGTCAGTGCATTGCCACCTGGCTGCCGTGTGAAGTAGAGCCAGTCAGTATTGCACTGAGGATTGCAGTATTGCAACATCGTTGTCTTCATGTTGAGAGCTTTTACTGTATTGTCATCGAATTTCATGTCACATTTTGAGAGCTTTTAATGTAATTGTCAACGAATTTCATGTCACATTTTCTGTGAATCTGTGTACATGCCAGTTGATTTAGATAAAATTGAACTTGAACTTGAACTTGAGGACAGTTCAGGATTTAGATCCTCAGCAGAAAAAAATTGGTTGTGGGTAAGGAACTTTCTTACCCTACAAAATCATTCATGAAGGTATGGTGATGTGTTGACTGCAGACCCACGTGGTCCATGAGCCACCCCTGGAGGAGGAACCCTCGGTCTGGTCCCCACGACTGGAGAGGAAACGACGCAAGAAGAAACGCTTCAACCTGTTTGTACGGCAGTGCACAGCTACAGGTTTCATCTCACAGGTAAGTTGAAAACTTGAATTTTCTATATTGTATGTTTATGAAAAAAGTAATATGTACCATTGGAATAAAAGTTTGTTCATGATCATATGGTATGCAACACGTTGATATGCAGGACATCGACATAAAGATGTTTCAAAATATCTTTTCTAGATCTACATCCATGTCAAAGACAAGAACGACAACCAGACCCTCCACGAGAAGGGGTACTCCATTGCCCGTGCCCTGTGCTCTGATCTGATTAACTCAGGGCGTAACCACATCATCTTCTGTGAACCACTCCACACCAGCCTGCGGCTCTTCAGAGAGCTTGAATCACGCAACATCTATGGCTGCGGAGTGATAACAGACGCAAAGCACAGTGACTGCGATGGACTCCCAGCCAGCGTCCTTGCCAAGCCTCCAGCATCGATGCGTAAGTACAACAGCATTGTCCGCACCAAGGGCAGGTATTCCTCCATGGTGTGGAACTCCCCACGCATCCCGTTCAGGTTGCTGACAAACGCCTTCTCTCCAGCAGCACAAGGGAAGTTGGTGGTTAAGAAGAACCGAAGGCCTGACGAGGAACTGCCATGTCCTGAGGCAGTGCAAGCCTACCAGGTGGGTCTCTTCTCTTTCATGAATAAATCATGCTCCTAGCTACCCTCCCACTAGCCATGGCCCCTGGGAGGTAGGAGGAGGCCCCATCCCCTCCTTCATATCATATCACCTATAGATTTAAGCCTTGAATGCTGAAGACAGGCATTGAGGATTGTTGTTACATTTTGCTGATATTCTGCTAAGCTGATATTCTGCACTCAAAATGTTAAGGTATACCTGGGATTGGACCTTTCCCCAAAATAACTTTCTAGACTCCTGGAGATTGTGTAACACAGGCTGAGTGACTCCATCCTCCTCTGTTCCAGAACCACATCAAGTACATTGACAAGTACAACGAGAAGTTCTCATGGTACATCATCTCCTACAAGCCCAACAAGACGTGGCAGCAACTGTTCTGGACCGTGCTGAGTCTGGCCATGAACAACTCCTACATCATGTACAAGATGTCGCCGGCGTACGCCCACTCCCAGCTCAGCCGCAACAACTTTGGGGCCGACCTGCTCCGCGCCATGGCCGGGCCGTACTACCAAGAGGTCCCCGCATGGGGGGAGGACATCAGTGACCCAGAAGACTAGCTGAGATACCGGCACAGAACACTCAGATACAGGGCCATGTACCAAATTGCTGGTTCTGTACCTGTAGAATTATTTAGGTACAGGTCAGGTCCTGAATATCTGGTGTACCTGTACCTGAATTAAAAAAAGCAAAATAGCTTTGTTGCAAATTAACGCATTCCTTATGTTTCTATATGGCAGCTGTATCTTCATGTTTTTTCCGAAGCTTTAATTATGTTTCAAACACTTATGACTTTAGGAGTGACCAAAACATATTACATAATTGTAATTAAGGGGCTTTGGGATTCCATCGTTAGACATTGCAAGGAGCCAGTTACATGTGTTGTACTTTCATGCCCCCAACAATATGAGGTTTTGTCTCCAAATAAAGTTGCTTGGTAATTGAAACAATGCAATATATCAAGGATATAAATAAATTACCATTTAACATTTACTCTAACATTAATGTTGGTAATCCTGTCATTGCAATGTTTGCATACAATTACATGTTAGTATGACAGTAGTGTTCAAATTATATTTTTGCAGATAGCATCCATATATTGTAGTATCGTAGAGGCATTATTTTTGTAAACCCATAAACTACGTATATTCAGTATATACTTCAGTGCAAGTTTTTCTTCTTTGGGATTTCAGTCTCAGGAAACTTTTCAGGGCTGGAAATCTCACCTGCATATGCAGGTTAGTGCAGGTACAATTGGAGCTGTGCAGGTATTTCTCATGTCTACCTAACTTGCACTGACCCATGTACTGGATATTCAGTTGTATTGTGATTGACCTTGATAAATTCTCCATTTCCAGCATGGTGTAGATATGAGTTGTCTGGTGCAGGTAATTCTCAATGTTACCTGCACCAGTGGATGTATGCAGATCAAGTCTTGCTGTTACAAATAGTCATCCATTGTTGTCTGCTACTAGGTCTTCCAGACTATACAGGTGATATTCAATGTTGTAGGAAACTTCAGTCTTTAGAGGTTTTTGAGAGGTGGGTGTCTAGAGAGAAAGCAATGTTTGTTACATACACATGTCCTGTCCTGTCTGATGCTAGAGGTGTATGTCTCACCTTGTTTGACATCACAGAAGGTAAAACATGTCAGTGGTCTTGTACTCAAACAATGAATCTAATAGAGTGTACTATGTCACCTGTTCAACATCTAGTGGTGGTGTTAGATATTCATGTTCATGTAGGAGATGACGTATACAAACACATTTACCTGAGGAGTACACTTGTCTATAGTGACGTACCACTCAACGGACTTGAAGGAAATGGTCACAGTGGACAGGTGGCCACTATTGACAAGGTTTTTCAACATGCTTGGGTCACTAGAGACCAGCCAAAAATGGCCAGCTGGTCCTAATGCAGAGAGTCAGGTGGTTACTAGTGCAGGTTGGACTGAATGTGCACTAGAGAAGATCATTATATCAGGACAGCCTCTTGCCACATTGTCCATGAAACTATAAAATGAATAGACTATGTCGTAGGTATGTTTACAAGAATTTGTAGAACGAGCATCACCAGATTGGAAAATGGGAACTTCAGGTACCACGCCTTGTGTGTCAATGTTTTGAATAGCACTTCTTTGAATCTTAGCATCAGAATAACTTGGTGAAATGGTTCAATGTCATTGTTCATAGCAAATGTTGTAGGAAGTAACAAAAAACACTGTTCTGAATGATATACAGTACTGTGTTCACTAACTGGTGCTAGAATTGTCAGAAACTGAAAAGGTAGAAACCCAGGCATGTAGGTGCCAGGTGTCAAACTCAAGTACTGCTTTAACAGACCCCCTTTCCACCAGACGGCGATCACTGAGCGACCGTACAGCAAAATTGGGTTTGTGTAACTTTGACATGATTAGAAGTATGATTTAAAAGACGACATAATGCAGAAAACGTAAAAAAAAACTTTGTCAAAGAGCTTCTGTCAAATATTTGGTCTCTCGGTGTTGACGGCCTCTAGTGGAAAGGGGTTGTCTCTGGAAACAGGAAAAATGCAGTGTCTAGGAATGCAGAAATGTATTCGCTCAACCTCCTTGCTGAAAGTGAGCAATTGTATTGCAGATCTCGAGGCAGAAGGTTTCATGGTTAAATTAAGACGTGGTGACAACACAGTATCTCCACTGTCTCAAACATCTGAAATTCCTAAAATTCAGGTTCTGCCGACGAAAGGAATAAAAATACATGTACAACTGTTGCATTCAAATGCTTCACAATCGTATCAGTGATATTTTTGTATTAAACAACCGTATGTTCCGACACTCCCTAATCCACCCCTACGTCCCTGAATGTTTGGAACGTAGAGGTGTCCAAACATATGGGCGTTGGGGCGGTTGGAACATAGAGCCGTCAGCTACAGTAGTTAGGTACTAGTATGTAGATGCATCTGCATACTTTTCCAACGTTTGAACGCTATACTACAATGAAACTGGGAATAGGAAATGATATTTCAAAAACGAATGGGCATTTGAATTTGGAAAATGACATGACGATTTCCTCGTTAATGGTTTGTGCTCGGTGTGTTTGAATATGGAGGTGGAAAAAGCACATTTCTACCTCCATGGTTTGAGAGAGCATACATTGGTGACGATATTCACAACAGCGCCTTATTACCGTATCTAATCTTTAAATCCCATATTACGCGTATTCACTAGCTGGATCGATGCAAAACGAATCTTTAGAGCGAGCTATGGGGCATGGTAGACAAGATTTTAGGTAAGTCACAGAGTCCCGACGTGCGTGACTTGCATGTGCCACAGATAGGGAAGGGGGCGGAGCTAACCTGTCAGTCAGTCCCCGACTTCGGTCTTCTTACCTGTCCTGCGCGAACACCTGTCTTTTCAACATGTCCGACAGGTATGTGTGTGACTTGCTAACCCTTGCTAAGGTTTCTCTCTGTTAAACATACGAATCAAACAACTGAAGATTGGTACATAGTGCCCACAGCTGTCGTTACGTTATATAAAGCTTTGTTGTCGAACTGCGCGTCGACTATGGCACTGTCCACGGTGCACTGTCACTAGAGTCAGGGATCAGGATGCTTGGTGTGTTGAGTTGTGCGCTGGGTTAAGTTACGCTTGTGCTCACAGGGTCATTGGGGGGACACCGTCTGTAGGCTTGCAATGTACATTTTGTACCTATTTTTCTTTATTTGCGGAATGTACAATGTGGAATAACACTAAATCACTGTTTATCATTTAGATACACCTTACTGTGTGTTACGTACAGTATTTGAAGAGAACAGAATGGTAGGAATGTTATTAAATCTTTTTTTACAGTTCTCTGATTTGACCTTCCGGTCGTTGACATATCTCACAGGGGGGTTCTACTGACGACCAGCTCCTATAACCATCGCCAAGGCCGTGTAGATTAAACATGGCGACCAAACAAGGAAAGAAAGTCAAGGTTGGAATAAGAACGCTCTTCTCAAGGAGACGGAAGAGGTTTTCTCGGCCCAAGGACCAAGTACGCCTTCTCAAGGAGTTGGAAGAGCCGATAACTGTCATGGGTGCCGGTGAGGAAGAGAACAATGAACTGAAATTAAACTTAAACTTAAAGACTATCCAGACGTCAGTAAATCAACCCCGGCAGCAGCCCAAACGCCGCAGTGTGAAGTTAGATGTGGGAGACCTTCTGTACGGTGGGCGGAAGGACCGAGAGTCGGAACCTTCCTCCTCGGGCCACACAGCCACGTACTCCGGCGGAGAGGAAAGAACACGGCCCGGGGAGCCTGACCAAGACTTGGACCTGAGACTTGTCACGAAGGAAGACGGTCAAGACAATTCTTGGATTAGCGCCAAGGCTACAAAGAAGGTGTTTACTGCCCAAATACATTCAGACAGTGGTGCAGGAGGAAAGACCCAACCTGGGGAAAACGTTAGGAACCCTGCCAACGGCGGTGCAGGAAACTCAACACGTCCGGACAGGAAACTGAGCGAAGGAAAGTCGAAGAAGAAACGTAAGAAAGTGAGCTTTTCAGCCACGTCTACAAAGTACATACAGCTGGAGGCCTCCCAGGAAGCCTTAGACGTCTGTGTGGTGGAAGAACAGACGATTAAAAAGAAGAAATCCAACAGAAAAAAGAAAATGAAAAAGGTAAGCCTTTTACAACAAGGGCTCTATCCAACTATTGGCACTGTCTATGTTTGATAATCTTGCTTTATAAGCATTTATCTTAACCAATTATTCAACCATGTTGTCAATCCTCGTGTTGTCATTCATTCGGTCAATTTGACAGTCATGACATTGGTGCGTTTGGAAGGCACATAGCGCTAACATCAGTGTATTGCTTATACATGTACCTTGTACAGAGAATCCGCAAGGCGGCGCAGCTGAGCTGGCGGTACCTGGTGGCAGGCTTCAGGAACATGACGATGGTGACGCCGTTCTACGTCACCAGCGACACGATGCAGAGCGTGTACTCACCGCAGTACAACACTAGCCTGGTCACCCCTATGTACATGACGTCATACACGGGAGATGATGGGTACACACAGAGGTATCCATGAGGATTTGTGGTGCATCGTATGATACAACGCCGGAAAGGAAAAATAACTTAAAGACACCAAATTGACTTAAAGCTTGATGATCGTCGACGTTTCAATTGAACTTTTTGCTGTCTATCCAATACAGTTTCATATGCGGATTAAAGGGCATGCACCGGTCTGTGTCTACACTGTCGTGGCATCTTAGTTTTTTCCTAGATCCTGCATAACTTTGAAAGTTATAGAAATTTCTTCTCCGGTTCAAAGTACATTGTAACCAAGAATTCCGAGATTTCATACCTCCATGAAATATGGGCTTGATATGTAAATATAAATTTCCTCTTTAATTATGCAAATTACCTCTGCATTAGCATGATATATGCATCATGATGTATGTTAACTTTTGATTAACTTACAGATGTCCCAAGTATGACATTCCCATTATTCACCATTAAGAAATCATAGATTTTTTGCATAGATTATGCAAATTATGTCATATTTGCATAATTAGTATCTGTTGATGTTCTGCCTGCCATAGGTTGCATACATTACATGTATGAAAGTAGTATAATGTAAAACACTGCAATAATAGAATTTCCTCATTAATTATGCAAATTAAGTCCTCATTTGCATAATTTGCATTTAATCATGTACATCTCTCTCCCAGCTACCTACACACCAAAAATTATGAAAATATGTTGTTCCTATCTGGACTTATTGGCTTTTAAACATTTCGCCCGAAAGTCCCCTGCAGTTCCAGAACAAGCTGGTAGGGGGACCAAACTCACACCACTTATTCCTGACAGGAAAAGCAATCTGTCACCAAAACATCAAGACCACAGCATGTTCAGGACAAAAGATACAAAAACCGGAAGTTCTGCTGCAGTACCAAGGTCATCCACCAGGAGGCCCATATTTGACCTTGACGTTTGTCTTCCTAAGACTTACCAACATACCAAATATCATCATAATCCATAAAGGCGTTCTGAAGTTATGCTGACCACAAAGTTGCGGAAACACACACAGACATACATACATACATACATACATACAGACAGACGCCGCCGAAAACAATACCTCCATTTTTCATGGAGGTAATAACTGTTCGATGGCTAGAAGCTAGAAGACAGTCAATCAGAGCAGACAAAGGCGGTCTTGTCAACATTTAATTCGATTCAAATTATTGTCCAAATAACTTGTGTATGCTACATCGTCTAAAATAAACTGTATCATCTGCACTGCAGAATGTAGTATCTTAGCAAGCCTTAAAAGATATAGCTGGAAGGTTCAATTTGCCTCTGACCTTAAAAATTCAACTACTTTCACACATCCTTCTAACAAGGCACTTCATCATTTTTTTTTAAACAAAGACAACTCTTTCACAAAAAATAAATCTATATATTGTATGTAGTGAATTACATATAGAATTATCCAAGGATTTGGTAGAATATTGTATAAATTTAAAAAAACTCACTAGGACTACTAGTATTACACTTGCGGGAAGACAGTTCTTTATATGATTATTTCATGGCATGCAACTAAAATCAGTCTTATTCGCTTAAGATGAGTCATAGCCACAAAGTATACATTGACTACAATCATTATATCACACTGTACCGTCTCTCGTCTAGTTGCACCATGTATGTAATAAGTTGTGAGTAACTAAACTACGCTGATAAAAACACCAGCTTTTAATTCGTTTGATTTATATTAAGTCTCTGTGTGTGTGTTGTGATCATATCATCCAAAAGGTTTTAATCAGAATTCATTAGTCCATCCATCCCTATACATAATTTTCGATCCTCACTCAACTTAATTAGGGCTCTGTCCTTGACTAAGTACTGTTTTCTTCCTCAAAAATTCCCGGCCTTGTTGTCATACCTGAAGAGCAAATCTTCGTCAGCTCCAGCCATGGTAACAGTTGTCAGGGGTAACTGGGCCGCGGTGTGTACATGCTCTCCACGGTGGTCGTGGTAACGTAGAACGGCGTTGCCAACGTCATGTTCTGGAAGCCCGCCATCAGGTACCGCCAGCTCAGCCGCGCCGCCTTGCGGACTCTCTGTGAAAGGCACAAGACCCTGGCATCACGTACTGAACATTAACAGGTGGGGTGTTAAAACGATGAAGGGGTAAGGTTCCTAACTATGTGTGCTGTTACCTTGACTACCCAATCGTTTGCTTGGTGACCGATCGATAAGGCTGTTCATTGATTGATGAATTCAATCCTCAGAAAGACCTCAGATGGTTGGATAAAGCTTTACTAGTATTTCAAAATCGTACCTTTCTTATTTTCTTCTTCTTGGATTTCTTCTTTTTGATCGTTTGTTCTTCCACCACATAGATGTCTAAGGTTTCCTGGGAGGCCTCCAGCTGTATGTACTTGGTAGACGTGGGTGAGAAGGTCACTTTCTTACGTTTCTTCTTCGACTTTCCTTCTCCTTTCTTGGAAAACGAGAGCTCCTCTGTCCCTGACTGTGGCCCAGTGTTCTTCATGACGTGTTTGTCAGACTGGGTCCCATTTTCTGCACCACTACTGTCCGTGTGAACTTCAGCAGAAAACACCTTCTCGGCAGTCTTAGTGTCACTCGAAGAATTTTCTTCCTCGTCTTCCTTCGTGACAAGTCTCAGGCCCAAGTCTTGTTCTTCCCCGGGCCGTGCCCTCTCTTCTCCGTCGGTGTCTGGGGCCGTTTGGTCCGAGGAGAAAGGTTCTGTCTCTCGGTCCTGCTGCCCGCCCTGCCCACCGTACAGAAGGTCTCCCACATCTAACTTCACACTGCGGCGTTTGGGCTGCTGCTGTGAGTGACTTACTACCGTCTGATTAACCTCTAAATCTAAGTACAATCCTTTGCTCTCTTCCACGTCGTCGCCTAAAGTTGTTATTGACTCGTCCGACTCCTTACGTACGGGGGCACGTTCCTTGGACTTGGAGAACTTCTTATACTTGTTCCTCGAGAACAGATTCCTAACTTTGAATTTGACCTTCTTTCCTTGCTTTGTCGCCATTTTTAAATGGAAACCCGGCGGGCGTCGTTGTTGTCAGCGGCACCCCCGACCTGGGGTCAACGACCGGGAGACTGCAGAGTACTGTGAAAAGACACTGTCACTGGATATTTAATAAGATTACCAACACACAGTGCATGTCTTCATAAGTTACACGGGGACATCCTAAGCGATACGCTCTAAAACCTGCCATTACCTACGTACCTTCTATATTGTTCACTCGGAGCTCAAGCAAAATCGGGATATCTTGGAAACCTGTGGGAAGTCTTCAGTTCCCACTTACTGATTCTGTACACACGATCATGAAATCCTTCACACAACTTACATCACGCTGCCCCTTCTCATCCTTGGCTGTGAAATATTCAACTCGCGACTCCACAACAAATCAAATATCTTAGTAGTTCTCCGGAAGACTCTCTGCTGTGACTTTTGTCCGAAAGGTTTGATAAAGGCACAGATTTGTCAGTTTAAATGAGACAAAACATAGTTAAGCTTCCGTATCTGCCCGCTATGTAAACACGATCTTTAGACGTTCAAACTTACAATATTCATCCCACGGCTCCACAACAAACGTCTAGTGGTGATCACGAAGTAGTGGTCTTCAGTATCCACATGGTTTTTAACGATAAAGAGTTGCAAGTTTAAGGCCTGCGACAAACTAACCTAAGCTGCTCTACGTACCTGTCCGACATGTTGGAAAGGTGCGTCAGGTGTTTACACAGGCCAGGTGAGACAACGCTACCTGGGCGGTGATTGACAGGTTTGCTCCGCCCCCTCCCCTATCCCGGGGGTGCGGGTCACGCATGTCCAGACCTCCATAGTTCCTAACAGGTCATGGATACTAGAATCCGGCAAACATAGGATCAATAATTGACCAGGAGAGTAAAGGTAACTTTTACCCTCCGGCAACTTGATCAAACCCTATTATTCCACCCTCATTTGGTTAAATGTTACCGTTTTTCAGCCTGCATTGTTCGCCTTCATTTAGACCCCTATGTGGCAATATACTAGAAGCATATCATGTGTGGTACCAGGCTCATTTTGCTAGTAATTTTGCGAGTCGTGCATATATAACTAGACGAACAGAGGGGAAAATCCGCACCACTGGACCTGCAAAACACCACAAAAGTCATGAAATCAACCCGGATCCTCATATGTATACACGTGCACGTCAGTGTGGAGATTAAATATCGACTACTGATAACGTCACATGTATGAATATTGAATGCCACCCGCACCTACTGATGATCTGGAAGATGTCGTCTGTTTATAGCATGGCTACACAATTTTACAGTACATTAATTTGAACCAACAAAACGGATATCACGCCTTTACGACTATTAATAAACACTACATCTGTGTTAAATTCAATCACTCGTCCGCAGGCTTCAGATTCCCCATGGACAAACTACTCAGCAAATACACCTGCAAAGCTAGGGTAAACAACCTAAAATAGGGATAAACCTGGATTATCTAAAATTTCCAAGGGAAAACAGAGAAATGTTCACGAAAACTATTCATTTTTTCCGAATCGCGAAAGGACTAGGATAGGGCTATGAAAACTTTATAAATCTGGGGATTGAAGTGGCGGATACCTCTGAAGTACAAAGTATCTAATATGCAGTTCACATTACAATCGCTAGAGAACGCTCTTCGTTGATTGGGACATGCCCATCTCGACCCCTGCGCGGTGACCCTGCGCTCATGCTCAGGGGACGTGGAACCCAGGAAGCTGAGAGTGTGTCACACAGGTTTGGTTAAAAAAATTAAGCACTTTCTCTCTAAAACAGGCGGTATTCTACTGATTTGGCCGACATGGGACTCTGCAAGTGTCCCAAGAAGAAAGTGACGAACCTGTTTTGCTTCGAGCACAGAGTCAACGTGTGCGAACACTGCCTAGTTTCCAACCATCCGAAGGTGGGTTGCTTCGCTCCTATCAGTCAGTGTGTCGATTGTGGTCGTGCATGACATGTCGTCTGTTCGTTTGTCTGAGCGCTAGTCGTTTGGGTTGAAATTATGTCTTCAGATTTAAAAGAAACTGGACAAGCTCTCCTATTTCAAACGCCATCTCGTATAAATTCCAGTCCTGTGGACCGAAAAGAAGTTATTTTTCTGAACACACCTGTGACCGGAACGTTTCAGAAGTGAAAATTATTTGTCTATGAGGGGAGGGGCGAGAGGAGTACTAGTAGCGCGATCGATGAAATTCTTTTCGCCTTCACAGCTTCCCCGCACCTGTGTGTGGACAGTTGGGAAAGTATTGCAGACACCGTGTATCCCACAAGTACCTGACGTCACTGGATTGGCCAGAACGTGCATAACTAGTCCAAAAATAGAAAATTATGGTTTTAAAAATATGTAACAAATGTTCAAGTCCTGAACTACCAAGGCACGCCTCACATGGCTTAGATTGTGTGAAATGTTTGTCTGTTCTCCACACATGTACATGGAGGCAGGAAATTGAAGGAAGAGTTTCACAGCTGCAGCACAACACTACACCCCTGCCTCTGCCCTTCCAACAACAGCTGCACAGCAAACCTCCTCCCAGCTGCATATCAACAACCATTATCCAATCACTCCCTTGACCATTGCAACATCCTCTGCTTTTTTTTCCCCACAGTGCATCGTGCAGTCCTACCTGCAGTGGTTACAGGACAGTGACTACAGCCCACAGTGCAACCTGTGTGGAGGGGCCTTAGCAGACGGAGATGTGGTTAGACTTATTTGTTATGGTGAGTCCCCTGCAAAAGTGGAAGTGATCTTGAACCAGGTTAGCTAAATGAACAGTTGGTCTTCTCTTCTACTGGTCATGACAGACAATGACAGATGCTATGTATAGTATTTTTAGGTTCATAATATTTTGTACCAGGGAAATTCCCCTAGCTTTTTTTTAAAGTACTCAAGTACAATGAACAGTGGAAAGGGGATTGCAACCTTTCCTTTATTGAAATGGTGCCACAAAGTAACATTCCTTTTATACCTGTTATGTTGCAGATGTGTTCCACTGGTCCTGTCTGAACAGTTATGCCCAGACACTGCCGGCCAACACGGCACCTGCAGGCTACACCTGCCCCAAGTGTAACAGTGGAGTCTTCCCCCCACCCAACATGGTATCACCTGTGGCTGACACCCTGAAGACGTGGCTGTCACAAGTGAACTGGGCAAGGGCTGGGCTGGGCCTGCCATTGGTAAGGCTGAGGCCAGTGTTCTAGCTTTTAAGTGATTTACACCCCCTATGTTGCAATTCAGGCCACCTACGCTGTGATATGGGCCACCTATTCTGTCATTAGGGCCATCTATGCTGTGATTTGGGCTTATGATTGTGTTGATATAGAGACTATTTCTCCCCACAGATAGAGGAACACACACCTAGTACAGTACAGGAGACAGAGAGAATAGAAGACTTACCTGCCACCACTGGTGAGTATAGCTACACTTCCTTAGAAGGGAAAACAAAGTATGCATTTCCAATGCATTGCTACTGTACTACAGAATTGTTCCAGACCTGCAACAGTACCCGATAAATGAATTTACAGTAAGATAGACTAGTTGTTGTTGGTTTATACAGGTGAGAAGATAACAATGTCTTTGTGTCCCATATCCAGTTAGAACAGATGCAGACATGTCGGGTATGGTGGATCCCACCTACCTGCAGACCAGACCCAGCATGAACGGCCCCGCCCACGACAACACTGACCACGCCCGACAACAGCAGAACAGCTTCAGCCCCGCCCCTAGCAAGCCAGCAGTCTCGACCAATCACAAACCTCCACACAGCACAGCCATCAACATGTCCCACCTCCAGACACCTGCAGGGTTCTCTGCTGGAGTTAACGGTGGGTCAGGTGTTTATGGTTCTTTAAGTATGAAAAATCGTTTTACATGCACTGCAGGTGCTTCATGTCCCATAAAAGGGCATGGCATAATACACTACTGTTAAAGTTGTTATACTAACCACTTTCTACCTCTACATAAGAACCATCTGGTCGTAGATGTACAGTCAAACCTGTGGTAGTGACCATTGATCCAAGTATTAAGAATCCTGTCTGCAGATGTCACTTGTCTACTGGGATCATTTTCTTGAAGTCCTGTGAGTGGTCACTATAGACAGGTTTGAAGTTCTTTCACATGTGCTGGAGGTGTTGCTCTCTTGTATCTCAAATTTGAACCATTGTGACTGCCATTTCCAGACTCGTACTCTCCCAGGAAACTGTTTGACTCTACGAAGGACGACGAGCGGAGAAACACGTCGTTTGACCATGACGAGAACAAGTACAAGCGGAGATCAGCGCTGAACTGGTTCTCCAGGTGGTTCAAGTAAGTTTGTTTGTTTGTTTAGTTGTTTGAAGACAAGAATAGGCACAAGACTTGTTCTTTAAGTGGTCTGCTTATATTGGCCCAGACCTGAACCTGAACAAGTTTGGCAAATCATCTGTAAGTCTAGGGAACCACCTTATTGGAAAATTGTTGTCTTTGTATGAGGGTTTACATATTTTAATCTTGAAATGGAGTACTATTTATCACTACAAGTTTTTCAGATTTTCAAGTGCTAAATTGTCTGCTATGAATAAACTTATTAGATACACAGTCCTAATTTCCATTGGTCATTTTCCCTCTGACAGGTCTGTAGCAGGGACACAGAAGAAGGACCCAGATGCGAACCTGAAGAGGTTTATCGTGATGATGGTGCTGGGACTCATCGCGTTCCTGACCTTCATCGTCATCATGACCCGCGTGGGTCGGGCGGCCGCGGAGAACGACCCCTTCCTGGACCCCATGGCAAACCCCAACATCAGGGTCGGTCACGACATGGGTCACCTGGAGGGCCCCCAGTGAAAAATTGCCCTTTTCCTCTGCCTAAAACTTTGTGTCCACAGCACAGCAACCTAAATTTGGGGCCGCACCAATGCATTTTTGTGGTTCTTTTTCTTCAGCTTAAAGTGAGAGAAAAATTAGCAAAAGGTCAAAAAAGAAAACAAGAGCTGGCAGGATTTTGCCTGCAGGCTGTTTTCATGTTGATTTTCCAGTGTTTTCATTGGAACCAAGAAATTGAATTTTTTTGGCCTTAGATACAACAGCTTCTAATTATTATTAATGTTTTCTTTGCTGTTGATTAGTTAACTGGGTTACAGAAGGTGGAGGTTCGTAAACATCATGGAAATTAGATGATTTTGAAAAAAATATACATTTTCCTAAAACATACTTGTCTTTAAGCATCAAAGTTTGGGTTTGCCAGAACCAGATTTCCCTGTTTTTTCTTTTTATTTGCCACACATGCACACACAGTGGTGGCTTTGTGTAAGTCTGGCTGAAAGATACCTGAAAAGCATTGCTCTGTTACTAGCCTCCACCAGGCCTTCCTAAGGGGTTGTGGATAGCCGAATTCTGCAAAAAGTGGGTCACTAATTGGCCAGGCAAGTGAGTCTGCGGTAAGGATAATGTTTCCTACTCGGGCAAATGCAAACTCCCCTGGCAAATCATTCTACCTATAGCCAGCATAGTTAGTCTTGTACAGCTGGGTTATACAGTGTTTTATGATACATGTATACACAAATTTTATGTTTGGGTAGTGGTCAATGTTGTACATCTTGTTGAATTAACCAGGAGAGAGGAACTTGTTGTAATATGATAAAAATTATTATTGCATGTTTTAAATTCAACTTAAGTGTCCAGGAAAGCTAGGCCTCATATTTTTTTAATGCCTCAGAATACATAAAAGTGATGAATAATATGACATTACAAAAATGTAATGTTTAATACCGTAACTCATTCAACTTCTTTTACTGAGTATTTTAAAAAGTTTTCCTGTAGAGAATCCTGCCCCCACTTTTTTTTTGCTATGTAACTAAACAGACTCTCCCAAAGCTGCTTCTTACTACTGTAAATACTGTATATATATCATGTTGTCCATATTAGCACAGCAGATTATGTAGCTGCACCTCAACAAGCTTAATGTGCAATGTAGGAAAACTACTATAGCTCCCCCTGATTTTGAATTGGTTTTGCCCAGAATAAATTAAAATTAAAAGTGTCAAGGAAGGTTCAGGTTGGTAGATACCACTTTCAGACATGTAGGCGAGATTGTCATGGCCTTGGACGTAACAGCCAATGAAAATGGCTGCTGTGAGATTTGAATTATCTTGATATGTAAACAATATTGTGACCATGAACCGAGGATTGTTGAGTCTAATGACTAAATATTGTACATGTATAAGCCACACCAGGAAAGTTCTGACTATATTAAATAATGTTATACATTCTGATGTGTGCGTTCTGTATTGTTGACTTTCAGTTATGATCATTTCTCTACTTATGGGGAATTTTGTATTGCGTCCAAGAATAGCTATAAGGCGTTACATTGCATAAAAGTGGTAAATGATATCGATCCCCAAGCAACATGCTGTTTTCATATATTAGTGAAATATTACCTCTTACGTACAAGCAGCATTCCACTGTGTCAAAAGGATGGAGGTAAATTTTGCTAGCTTAGAAGAATATTTGCCATTGACGAATGTGTGAGGTATAACAAGGTTTGAAAGGAAACGTGCATCCAAAATCTACTGTAATCCACTGATATCAAGCAGTTTGGGTTTCCTGTATGTTCCACGGGATTCATTTCGTTCAGCAGTTCGCAGTATAATCCCTGATGACACCCCACAGAAAAAAAGTTTGTTTCCACGGTCAGGGAACTGCAGATATACCCCCAGCCTGTAGGTGGCGGTGTTGTAACATGCACCTGTCACTTGCCGGAATCTGTGAACTGCAGGTACGCTTCCGGTCGGTAGGTGATGACCAGTAACTCCATCGTCATACGCGCGATGAACAGCACGAAGTTTAATCCTGAAAAGAAAGAAAACAAAAGCACATGGAGTTTTACCGACCCTAGTCCTACTAGCAAATAGGCCTTACTCTGACAGAGACAACTTTCCAGCCAGCCTTTCTGGTAACAGCCGTCGCTTCCAGAGAGAAGTGGAGGAAACCAATTCCCGGCGTGCGCCAATCGACCAGGGCGGGCAGGCAACACCCCAGCACCGTGGAGAGATACCGTGGAGCTCCCGATGGTATGGCTGTTGTCAGGCTACATGTACTTTAACTGATCTCAAGTTTGAAGCATCGATGCTTTTATGTGGTATTTCTATTTGACTATTATATATAAAGCGTCGAAAATATCCCCAACAAACTCAAACTGTTTGAATGGAAAGAAAATTAAAGTTATGACCACGTGACCCACCTAGTGAAACTACCGCTAACATGTGTTCCCCTGCCTCGGTGGCTCCAGCCTGGGTGGTGTACACGTAACCAAGCAACGCCGTGTAGAACGCCAAGATGTGGATTACCTGCAGGACGCGAAGGGTTAGAAACAGAGTCAGAGGCGGTGGTTAGTTGAGACTGAGACACGAAAACTCGGCAAACATAAGTTAAGTTTGTATGTGCTTTGAGTAAGGAATTTGATAATGAATAAATATTTCTTCAAGCAGATACCTACCAAAACTGTGAAGATGAAGTTCTGTGTCGTGACGCCGGGCTCCTGTGTGTGCAGGTAGACCACCACGTCGTAGATCGCGGCGCCCAACAAGACGAAGAACAAGACGTAAGACACAAGGATGAAAGTCTCCTTCTTAGACAAGCGCGACTTGGCCATTCACGCGGGCGTCGTGCGCTGCTGGCATCCTCGGTCAGCCCTCAGCAGAAGAAAGACCGGTCCTCCGGCTAAGTCATGCTTGTCGGGACGCCTCGATGGCACGGGCGTAGAGAATGAGTCTTCCGTTGCCAAGGAAATGATTGTGCAGGGCGACGTGACCTTACATGACTTTGATATAGAATGTTCTTTTCTTATCCGTGGTTCTAGAACGCCACCAACGAAACGCGCGTTGACATGGCGTTTCATCTTTCCACATGGGGGAGACCATTGAACGACTAAAAGTCTGACGGGCCCCTCCACCGCCGTCCGCCGCTCACTGATCAATAACGACTCCATCAAATTTTGAACTGGCTTCGGAGCGTTCGTTTGCAGAGGAAAAACTTTTTCCGGGGGTTAGAGGTCAGAGGCGGGAATGCTGAGTTTGGACATAACAGTTAACCTATTATTGTCTTCGTCAGAAGGACTATGAAATTGTCTCGCCGCATTGTGGGAACTGCGGATTTTGCGATATAACTCTGGCAGGCATGATTCGACGTCCATGATTTTTGGCAGGCAGATTACCGTTGTTGAGGCCGAAGTCAAGTGTAAGTTTCGGCTTCGTGGGGGGTCCGTGCGTCATGTTAATGCACCTTTTGTGTTTGTGGGTTGTTAGCAAAATAACTCAAGTATTTGTAAAATGTTGCTTATAATTTTTGGTAGACAGATTACTATTACTATTGTTGGGACCAATGTTAAGTTCGTTAATGGGCTTTGTGGGGGGTTTCGTTGTCACTGTAGCGGACCTTTTGTGTTTAGAACTTCCCCCACCACCTCTGCTTGGAGACAGCTTTTCTTCTTCCTTCTATGGCCACTCTTCTTTTTGCGTTGATGCTTCCCTGATATGTTCTTGTTCCCACCAATGGCAATGATGGAGTCCTCGTCGTCGAGGTTGCCGAACTCTTTCCCTTCTTCATCCACCATTGTTGCTAACGCACCCTCTTCAGCGACCTGTTTCTCTATGCGACGCTTTGCTCCGCTAAAGGCATCCAGAGCCTCTTCTACTTCGCGAAGTGCTTTGGAGGCATCGTGTCTCTTGCTCCAAGCACATTCATCTTTTATCTTCTCTAGCAGCTTCCAAAGTAAGTCGTTTGCTGTCTTTACCCTCTGGATTTCCAACGTGACGGCTCCTTCTTTGTCGGTTTCTGCTTCCGGTATGAACTTGTCAAGCAGGTCCTGGACTCTAACCACACCCGTGGTGTAGAATTGCTTGAAGAGACCAAACTCGCTAAGATTCTCTGAATGTTTGTAATCCTGCAAATGCTTCTCGCGAGTAATGACATCTCGCTTCTTCACTTCTTCTTCTGCTTTAGTATCTCCAGCACCTTCGTCCCATTCTTCCCTTTCCTGATCTTCTTCCCGGTCTTGCACCTCATCTCGGATATGCGGACGAGATTCGAAGGTGACGCCGCAGATTCGACACCCCGTGTCGTCAAGTTTGAATTCACGCAGATCGTCACGCTGCGCTGACATTTGCCGTTCGACGTTTGCAATCCTGTGTGATAATTCTGTCGCATCCTTCTTAGGCCAGACTTTGCGGTGTGAGCGCCAAAACTTCTGGATTTTGCTCGCTGCCTTCTGCTTTCGTTCTTCATCAGCTTGTTGTTGCCGAATCCTCTCATACATATCGCCACCACCAACCAACTCTTCTTCCTCTTCCTCTTCACTTTCAATGATGACGTCATCCTCTTTTTGGCCATAATACTCCTCCCCTTCTTCATCATCCTGTGAAGCGTCTTCCATCTCTGCAATGTCAATTCCTGCGCTGCCCTGTGGCGCGGGCACGAGGACGTCAACGTTAGACGTCTCGCACACGTCGGTGTGTGCGCGGGCACTTCCTGAGCTGTCGTGGACTTCAGTTACAGCATCATCATCGTCGTGGATCCGGGATTCTAACGGTACCTTTTGCCAAAAGCATCCGATAAACATTTCAGGTTTCACTTCCTCAAAGTTAAGTCCTTTGTAGATACCTCTCGTCCCTCTGTCAGGGTATCTCCAGAAGCAGTGCCGTAGGTGTTCCTGGTCCCTGGCCTTCAGCAGGTCTTTCAGAACGAACGCAACATCGCGTATTCCATTGGCTGCTCTTGTTTTTCTGACGGCATCCGCAAGTCTTTGCGGAAAGTGCTTCTTGATGCTGATCTTGTACAGAACTTTCCGCAAAGGCAACTCTGCATCCCTTGGCACAGGCCCACCACAACCGCAAATCAGCACTAATGCCAAGATGAAGACTCTTTCCATCTCCCCGCTGTCGGCATAGTCAGGGACGTTTGGACGGAAGACATCATCGATGACGTTAAACTGCGGATATTTCTCGCCTTGGCAAATGATGTTTATGATGAACCAAATGCACTCTTCAACCTTCCTGAGGATCACGTCCTTCTTGAAAGGGAGTCGTTGGATGGCCGAATAGATAAAGCCTTTATCCCTGCTCCACAGGCGATCACACAAATGGACCATAGAGATGTAACTCGCAGGGAGACAGAGCATCATGTGTTGATTCATCTTGGCATACATGGAGTAACAGATTACAAGAAGTAGCTCCAAGAAGAAGCAAGTGTTTGCAAAGGATGGAATCAGTGGCTCCAGTGCCCTCTTCGCCAAGAAACCCATGAAGGCCTTCATTTTGCCTAATGAAGACAGAATGTCTCCTCTTTCGTAGATGTTTTCGACGAATTCCTCTAGTCTTCTCATGAAACTGAAGAACAAAGGAGGATTTCGACCTACCTTATCGCAGATCATACCAATGTGCCGCGGGATCCTCTCAGGGTGAAGTCTTTTCATGGCCTTCTCTTCGAACCCCTTCTCAGTAGACACGAGAAGACTCGAAAAGTTATTTGGCGGTTCTTTGGCTAGTAGAAACAGGTTGGCAATCTTGATCAACAGGTCCGTGTTTGATCTTTGGTCGCTGGGACTGGCGGAATCCCACAGAGACTGGGCATAGTCACGAATACACAAGGTGACGATTGCATCACCCTGGAACTTGCTGAAAACCTCTTTGACTAGTGGGGACTTTTCAGTGAGAAGCCTTTGATGGCCGTGTGTTGGAAAGAGGATGTAGTACAGGTCATCGCATAACCTGCTTCTCTCTGCACCACGATCACTGTGGACAGCAACAGCCTGTTGTACCGTTTCCCAAGGACTGGTTTTGATTGCCTCATATCCCCGGTCGAAGACTCCATGAACCTTTATGAGAAGGACTGTTGCTTCCAGAAAAGACATTAGAGTGCCCTTGTCATATGGTCGGTGTTGGTAGGCACAATCATCTCCTTTCGGGCAACGCAAACCAGCAGTGTAGAAAGAACATACTCTATTGCTTGTTGCAATTGTCTGTAACATCAGTCGGAGTTTCTCCTTGAACTGTTCTGCGTTTCGGAGGAGGTCACTGGCCATGTATGCCCTTGCTTCATGAATGCTCATCTTCTTTGTGGACTCGCTTCTCCCTGACGACCCTATGTCAATGATATCTAAAATTCGCGGTTCTTCAGAGGCATTAAATGTCGTATTGCTGACGTCTGTGCATTTCACTCCGTAGAACAGATCACAAGTCGTTAGCCATTCCTGCTCTGCGCACTGTCACCCTAGCGAGCAGGAGAGCCCTTACAAGACTAAAGAGGCTTTCCAGCCGCACAAGGATGACTCGAATTTCTTTCAACGATAAGGTCCTCCTTTTCTGTATCAGCAGGGTCGCCGCTTCTGTAGCTCCTGGTATGTTCGTCCCGAAGAGCTGGATTGCACTTCTGAGCGTGCACTCGTCGCCTGTCAAGTCTCCAAGCATCATCATAGCTTCGGCTTTGCGCTCAGTGTTGTCACATATGGTATATAGCTTCATACACCTTATCAGGTTGTCCTTGGTCTCTTGAATGCCAACGGTTCTATTCTTCGTCTGCTTCCGACTTTGGTAGAGGAGACAGTCAGCTACAAACTCCGGATTCTGGTGAGGATCTGCTGCTTTGGCGGCAGCCTCAAACTCTCCCACTGATTTCAGCAACTCGGCCGCTTCCTGGCCCCTTTCTTCTTCTTTCAGAAGCGCTGCTGCCTCCATCACACGACCATACTTCTTGAGAAGGGTTAGACGGGTATCAACGGGTAGGCGGTTGAGGCAAGAGACCATTTTCTCCTCTTCTACGTGCTTGTGGTAGTGGTCAATGGCTGCCAGGAGAAGGTTATCTGGTGTGTGAATGGGTGCTGTAACAACAACAGTAGGATCCAGACCCTTCTGTTTGCACTTGTTTTGCAACTTGACGTACTGCTCAGACACGTCTGCGGCAGCTTCAAACTCATCAACGCTTCTCAAGAAATTTACCGCCTTCTTGAAGTTTCCGGCTTGCACGAAGCAGCGACTGGCGTCCACCTTCATGTTTTCTTTTTGGTATAGGTACGCAGCGCTTGAAAACTAGGTACAAAAGCAAATGTATAATTTGCTTAGTCCTCAGAATTTAGACAATGGTACTATACTATCTGTAAAACCGTCGATGCAGGCCATGTTTTATATGCAGAGACCAATTCAAATAGAAGTAAGTACTTTACTAACATCCTGCAAGACACTTTTTCCTTCTTGTGGTAGTTCACTGTGTACATACCTGACATCGCCATACCGCTTCAAGGTTGTCGCAGGTTATCCAAAATGATATGGGCATCATACACATTTTCTTCATATTGAATATTGCCCAAAGTATCTGGTAAATACCTGGTGACATCTGTACAGCAGCAACATGAACTCAGCGGCTATTGGTTTCCTTTTATAGTTCTGTTCTCGCTTATTAGATGTAACGTCATTTTAACATGGGCTTGTAAATACAGTATAGCTACATATGGCTGTGATGATATATTACTAAGGTTTATACCTTGAAGAGCAAGAGCGAGGACTAAGATGTAAAGCTTGCACTTATTGTGAGTGGATGAAAAGTTTCAACATACCTCCCCAAGTCGTTCAAATAGCTTGGCTGCCAGTTGGTAGTCCCTTGAGTTGGTGAGGCACCTGGCTGCTCTGACCAGGGCCTCCCTGTCGTCCACATGGTTTCCGCTTTGCAAGAAGAGGTCCGCTGCCTCTAGGAACCTCTGTCTTATCCTGTGCTTCTCTCTTGTCGTGGCAGCGTCTTGGCTGGCCTGATGAGCGAGATGCTGTGCCAAGGCCATTTTCTCCTTCTTCGGATCTCCTCCTTTCTTGAAGAAGTCTAAGGCGATTTCCCATCTCTCCTTTTTGTAGAAGTACTCACCACGTTGACACCATTCTTCAGGCGTGGACTCCTTCACAAAGATGTTGGAGGAGAGCTGACCTGGGAAGGATGTTTAAGAATTGTTGGTAATGATATCTAATATTGTTGGCAACGACACCATAACAACGCCATTGTCTGCCATAGACAGTTACTTAATAAAAATGTCAGCACTCACCTTGCTCATCCCGTTGTGGCTCTTCGACAAACTGCTCTGCAAGGAAATACTTGAACATTGGCGCATGCTTAGTTGGGTCTTCGTCGAAGATCCAGACGTTCACCCTCGCACGAGTGATGGCAGTGTACAAGTTCTTCAGCTCAGAGTTCAACACCTAAACGGGAAAATATTCATGCGTCCTTTGGTGAAATACACAGCAGAATTGAACACAAAAAAGGGAAAAGAAAAGATTAGTCAAAGGACTCATTGAACGCTCCATTCGTCATTCAACACACAAGTTTCTTGTGAATAGAGACACAAGACTTAATACCTTGTGCTTCTCCGGATTGAAGTCGAGTGGCCTGGCTTGTGCGACAGCACTGCTCTGGTCATCATCAATTTTCAGCAGTCCTTCCGATCTCACCTGTGACTGTACCTTAGAAGCCACGACCACTTCATCGTCCATACGGGTCAGCACAACCCTCCATTCTTCGTTTGCCTACAGAGTGAATAGTACTTCTTATTTCTCCGTTATCATGTCAAGAAATGTTGAGATCATTCAAAATGTCCCAAACAACGTCGTGACTTTCAACCAGAACCCAATATTGCTTACCTGTGAATCCTTGAAGATGTTGTACAGCAACACGTCGTCGAATTCCAGCCCCTTCGATTCGTAGATAGTGAGTACCAGCGATCCGTGGAACACTTCCGGCATTTTCTTCTTAGCCTCGCTGTTTGCCACCAGGACGACCTGGTGAGCTCCGAACTCAATGGTAGACGTGACTCTACGGTTTCCCTGTAGAAGGGTGACTAAGTCGTTCTGTGAGCATCCCCGCAGCAAGAGGGGCTTGGGTCCCTCCATGATGCCTCGGTCCTTTGGTAGGTGGTCGAAGGAGAAGGGGAAGAACCGCTCCAGTAGTGTGATGACACCTGCTGCGAGGTCGAGTATGCCGCAGTGAGACCGGTAGTTGTGCGTCAGATGATACATGTCGGGTACCTGCACTGCTGTCCTCTTCCCCATCTGTTGCAGTGACTCTCTGGCCTTGTGGAACAACGTGCGGAGGTCCTTGAATCGAAAGGACACCCCTCTCATGATGCTCTGGGCCGTGTCTCCTGTGAAGAACATTTCGTTTGGGTCACGGCAGCAGCGGATCAACAGCGCAAGCTCAGCTTGGGTGAAGTCCTGTGTCTCATCCACATACACCTGGTGTATGGACCAGTCTACGTCCCCAGCATTAGCAAGTCGCTTATACAGATTGTGCACAAAGTCCAATTCGTCGAACATGTGGCGCTGTCGTTTCTCGTGCTGGTAGTCTAGGAAGATGTTATATATCTTGTCACGATTACCGGTAAACTCAGCACGCTTCTTGCCGATTTTGAGGTACTCTTCTCGGCTTAGGAATCCGTCAGTTGTATCAACAGCTTCGACAGAACCTTTGATGATTGACATGATTTCCATCCAGACTAACGTTGGGTGGTAGTCCACTCTTCCTCGATTTACCCGTTTCCACAAATCAGTGCAGAACACTTCATACGTTACTTCTTGTCGCATTGTGCGCCGGTCGTGTTGGAGTCGCCCGCTATCTTCAGCTGCATCTATTGCCTCTTTCAATTTGCCAAGCTCCTTTCCACCTTCGAATTCCTCATCATCGTCAGAAGAGTCGTCTTCCAGGTCAGAATATGTAGGGATGAATGTCACCGGGCCATCATTCTCCATCCATCCGGGTATCTCTTCGGTCATACGGCCCCCATCATCTCTCTTGAAGAAGTGGGGCCCTTCCAGAGAGGCATCCAACATGAGCAACCATCGCCTGGAATCGAGAAAGAGTGGGAAGCCTGCTGGATCAACGTCCTGAAGTCTTACTGGAATCTCCTCATCCTGGTTAGCTTCAAGGTATTTTTGAGCTGCTTCAGTTCCATGACAAAGCTCCCGAAAGTTCTTTCCAACCTCGCTGCACAGTACGGCGTTCTTCGTCACAAAGATCTGATGAAGGTGCTCAACCTCCTGCTCACCAGTTTCCAGATTCTCTCCGGGTTCAGGTTCTTTCCAGTCACGTTTGGTCATCTCCGAGTGGAGTGATTCGTCCCCATCATCGACTTTCTCCACGGAGAGGTCCACTTTGGGTCTTGAATGATACGTTTGGAGACTGTGGCTGTCCTCGTCGTGGACATTTACATTCTTTTTGTCTTTTGTAGAAGTCTCCTCTTCAGATCCACTATCTTCGTCTGGAATGACACCTGATTCTTCCCCATTTTCTTCATTGTCATTTTCCTCGCTTCCTTTGTTGCGCCGTGGAATGTACGCTTTACTTTTGGGAATCCACGGTTCAAAACCATGGGCAGCACTCTTGGTCCAGTAGGACAAATACGCGTTCCAAAGACGGAATAGGCAACACGTTGTTTTCCCTGTCCCGCTTCGCCCGAGTAATAGGATCGAAGAGGGGGGCTGAGCGTTCAGATGGACAATGGCGTGTTCCAGGTCGGTCACTTTGAAGGGAAACTCCACCGGCAGGCTGTCGTCTCGAAGGATATTGTTGACCAGGGAGGATGAAAAGCAATAGAACTTGAGAATGTTGTACTCATTGTCGTTCGAACTGGCCACAGGGAAGAACTGCTGTTCCTCTGGGATCTCTTTAGGACTGGTGGTGACTTCTTTCTCAGTAAACAACATTGGGAGCCTATCCTTTGCTGTTGGACCTGATTTGAATTGCAGGTTTGTACGTCCTATGAGATTCTTTTTTGCGATGGGCATGCTGCCTTTGCCCCGCACAAATGACTTCACTGCCTGCTGGATAGCACGGTCAAGGTCATCATGATGAAGCACAATATCCCACAGTCGGATGATCTCTGTGTAGATTCGACCCCCGGAGGTCAGAGTGGTGCACTCTTCTGCTTGTTGTACCCCCTTCAACCATTTTGCTGGATCATCGCTGAGGCGTGGGGAAAAGGCAATAGCTAGCTCCCACAGGATCCTGGAAGCTTTGTCTATTTTTGCTTCAAACAACTGCATTCCTTCTTCTTGTGGTGGCCCGCGAACCTTCTTGGTCAAGTTATTGATCCACTCTCCCTTTGCAAGTCGGTTTACCTTCTCTACGACGCGTTTCTTTATATCGTAGGGAAAACTCTTCTTCTTCAGAATCTTCTTTACCTTATCAGTACATTCCACTTCCCATGGCAGATCTTTGTCAAAAACATCGTACCTGGTGTCTGCCGTTGGTAGCTCCTTAGCTTCCTCTGGCTTAGCACAACTTTCTGGTGGTTTTACTTCCTGAGCCACGGTGTATAGTGACTGGTCAGCCTCTGTTTTCTCGTCTGGGTCCTGTGGCTTGCCTTGTAACTGTTCGTCGTCTGGCCTTGTGCACGGTACTGGGGTTGTGGTCTGGTAGGGTTTCTGCCTAACACGACGAAGAAGCCTCTCTTCAGTTTCCTCCTTACTTGGCAATGGAATGGTTAAAATGGAACCAAGAATACGGGTTTTAATGCATTCTTTGTCTGATTTCTTCTTTGCTTTAGATGATGCCTTTCCTTCTGCCGACGTTTTACTGTCCCCTGCCGCTGCTGCGTCCTCCCAGCTGCCTACGATTTGGGCAGCACGGTTGCTTGTCGTACGTTCATCCGTCCTGTGGGAGGTAGCATTTTTAGCGTTGTCCCGACGTTTTTTTGGTTCTGTTTCTTTCTTGATGCGTGGTTTCAAAAGCTGTCTTCTACGATCGCCCTCTTTTAGGTAGTCGAGCGGAGTCCCAGCACGTTCAAATGGAGTCATGTGTGCTTTGGTCTGCTTAGCTACATGTTTAGATGTACGCGGAGGAACAAGTTGTTGACTGGGCTGTGCTCGGCTTGCCGTTGGCGGTGTGGAGCTTTTCAGTGCTCCCCGAACTGCAAAAAAGTCGTCATACTGTAACGTTACTTCATTGTTATAATCTTCAACCAACATTTAAATCTAATTTGATTGTGTAGCTTTGGTGGCATGTTCAGCTTTATTGCTGAGTCATGATAGTTATAGCAGATTTGTTTGATGCATACCTACAAACTAATGGCATCGCGGCCATGAAAAGGCCACTTAGGTGCACCTGTTCCACCATGCCCTCCATGTATATTATGTATGTGGTTAATCGTAATAAATGAATAGATAAATAATACAGTGGCTTCCCACTGGGAGACGTAGAGCGGGACGACCACAAACTACACTTTTGTCTATGTTAGAGAAAGACGCTGGTCTCACAGGGACTGCTCTAGTATCCGATATTAGGGACAGGGTGCATTCGAGTAACTTTATCAAGTGTACCGGGCAATTAATCCGGAGTCATGATGATGATGCATACCTTCACCGCGTCCTCTTTTTAAGCAGACAAAGAGGTCGGTTCCCCTGCGAGCGTAGTGCTCTGCCCTTTTCCCATCCGCGTTACTAATGTCTGCGTCCAGCCCAGCATCAAGTAAAAGTCTTATTGCCCGTAAGGCACAGTTTTTACGGGTCTGACGCTCTCTATCGGCCATGACAACGACATGCAGTAGGGTGTTGCCTTTCGCGTCGGTAGCTTTAAGTGCGTTGGTGAATCGTGACCTGAGAGACTCGCAAACCATCGTCATCACCGGAAGGCTATCTTCTCCTGTGCATACAAAGTCAAATCAAAAACTGCATGTATTCAATAGCTAGAAAATGGTGCGAGTGTAATTATAACAATACCTCTGTTCATACCAGCCAATCGCTCAGTTGTAATTAATGTGCAATAAGTCCATGAACGAACACACTCATACCTTTCCCAAGTTCCACTTTGAGTAGTGCATGCATGGGCGTGTCTCCCTGTTCTAAGCTGAATCTTCCTAATTCAGACCCGTGCTTTAGGAGTGCATGGATGGTGTTACGGATGTCATGGATGGTGTCACCGACACATCGAGGTGATGGGGCGCCCTTGTAGAGATGTAGGAGGGGCGCTAGGTTGATCATCGACGCGTCGCAGCCGGTTGCGATTCCCCCACTGTTTGGTTTATATCCGCCACCACCGCTGGAAGCAAACAATGTTCATGTTATCGACTACTGAAGGTTACAGACATGAATGGAATGTCACACAATCGTACGATGCTACATCATCTATTCCACTCACCGAAAGAACACACCGTGCACAAGTTCCCACTTCTGCTCTGTGACGAGTCGTTCCACCAAGATGGTGCGAAGGCTCTGGACAGGTTGCACGGGTAGCAGTATCATTTCCACATCGCCTACTGCAGGGAACGACCAAACTTATTTTAAATCTTATTTTACATTCACAAATGATATATTCCATTGCAAGTAACCATAGATTTTTAAATTTCATAATCGAAATCACTTGCCTAAAACTTTGGGAATCACTTCAGCCATACGGACTAAGAAGGCCAATGGTTCTTTGTCCAGAGGTCTGCCCAATTCGACCGCCTTCAGATAGCCATCGCGAATGAACATAAGTGCCTGGTTGAATAACTGCATTTCTAGTGCGGCGTCGCCAGCTTTGTGGTATCCCTACAGCAGAGTAACAACAAAAGTAAACCTTTGTTTCTACAAAGAAAATTGGGTGTCATCATTGTGTGCGCCCCGGCATCGTCCCACTGGCGTCATCTATAACAGTGCGCACCTAGCACCGTGAGGTAAGTACTTCTACTTCTATACAATACTGGGCAATGCCCCTCACAGGGTGTAACGTTCAGGGTTTCAATGTTCTGGCGCGACCGGTGATGGTGGTGCAAAAACAAAAAAGTGAGGCAATAATATGTCAAAATATTTTGTGCACTACCTACAAAATCAAAAAGTGATACTGTGGTATGTACAAAGTAGTCGCCCAGGGCTAGAACATGAACTTTTACAAAACTGACACATTCTGATGCCTTACTAACAGAACGAAGTATTGGCATGCACAGGAAACGCTACGCTATGCATCGCAGGATGTGTAGCTTACGTCTTTACAAGTCAAGCAAGCATCAACTTAACTAATATGTTGTACCTTCAGTCGAGTCGGGCGAGTGCGTATGGCCTCTTGTGCATCAGACAACGCCAGATCAAAGCGCCCGAGTCTTAGAAAACAGCTTGACCGGTTCAACAAAATTAGAGCGAGGTCTGACCCGTGTCCAAGTTGACGAGCCAGTTGCAGGGCCTCTGTGTACAGATGACATGCTTTCGCAAAGTTTTCCTGACGAAAATGTTCAGTCGCACATGCTGCAATCCTTTCCATCTCAGATTTCAACACTAGGATGAAAACAAATTGAGATAATCATCGTCTTAGCCTTTTTTCAGGATTTACCAATTTGCTTACTGGTGGCGGCATTGCTAGCTTTTCAAGTAGGAACTAGTAGTTATCAAACCAAATGATGAGCACTGTTAGGGCCTGCTCACCTAGCTAGCCATGATCATCTCACGATCACAAACTGAGAATATTCGTAGGATAATCATGTTTGTGTACTGCTTAGATCATTGTCGGCATTTGGTCCTGTCACAGCCCTCTAGAAAGTTCTACAGCCTAAAACCGCACAAAGGCCTACTGCGAGTATCATCGCGCCGTCATTAGCTGATTAATTGCCAGAGTTGGTGACCGCGTTGTACTTTAGTTTTCAGTTTCAAAAATAACAGATTTTACCTTTGTCTGGTACGTACCTTCACCACTTCCACGCTCCAAGCAGAGAAAGATATCCGATCCCCTGCGAGCGCAATGTTCTGCCCTTTTCCCATCGGCGTTACAAACGTCAGCGTCCAGCCCAGCATTAAGTAAAAGTCTTATTGCCCGCAAGGCGCATCTCTGGCTGGTCTGACGCTCTCTATCGGCCATGGCAACTACATGCAGTAGGGTGTTGCCTTTCGCGTCGGTAGCTTGAAGCGCTTTGATGAATCGCGCCTTGAGAGACTCGCAAACCATCGTCATCACCGGAAGGCTGTCATCTCCTGAACATAAAAAGCCAAATCAAGCTATTCAATTGCTAGAATATGGTGTGAATGCAATCCAAAAACAATACATCTGTTCATACCATAAATTCATACCTTTCATAAACAAGTCCATACCTTTCCTAAGTTCCACTTTGAGTAGTGCATGCATGGGCGTGTCTCCCTGCTCTAAGCTGAAGCTTCCTAATCCAGATCCGTGCTGTAGGAGTGCACGTATGGTGTCACCGATGAATTCAAGCGGACGTGGAGAGGCGCTGTAGAGAAGAAGGAGGGGCGCTAGGTGGTCGATTTTCGACGCGTCGCAGCCGCTAGCAATTCCCCCGTTGTTTGACCGATACCCGGCACCACCACTAGAAGCAAACGATTCATGTTATCGACGATGCAATGTTAAAATATAAATGGAACTAGTTGTGGTGAATACACACAATGATACCATGGCATATTCTCCATTCCACTCACCGAAAGAACACAATGTGCACAAGTTCCCACTTCTGCTCTGCCACGAGACGTTCCACCAACATGGTGCGAAGGCTCTGGACAGGTTGCACGGGTAGCAGTATCATTTCCACATCGCTTAGTACTGTATGGACGAACAAACAGTCTTGTTTTACATTCAAAAATTGATATATTCCACTGCAAATAACCATAGAGTAAACTCATATATGTCTAATTTCTTATACTTCTACAATGAACCCTTATCAAGTTAGAAAACAATTGACTTTCGGTAGACTTTTACATTTCATAATTGAAAACACCTACCTGGAACTTTTGGAATCACTTCAGCCATACGGAGTAAGAAGGTCAGTGGTTCGTTGTCCAGAGGTCTGCCTATTTCGACCGCTTTGAGATAGCCATCACGAAAGAACTCAAGTGCCTGGTTGAATGACTGCAGCGCTAGTGAGGCATCGCCAGCTTTATAATAACCCTACGACAAGGTGATAACAAATGATAAGTTTGATCCTACGTATAGGAGCCACAGACAATAAGGCGTCTTGTGTCACGTCATCATTTTATGTGGAATATCATCATCTTGAGTACCATGTCATCATTATGCGTCAAACAGCATCGTCTCGCTGGCATCATGTATGATTATACCTAACTAACACCATGACATCACTGCGACTAACACATTTTGATGCCTTGTTTACAGAAAAACTATTGACATGAAAACGTTACTCTGGGCAACGCATGATGTGTAGCTTACATCTTTACAATCAAAGATTAACTACCAGTAATCAGTAGTACCTTCAGTCGGATCGGGCGAGTGCCTATGACCTCTTGTGCATCAGACAACGCCAGATCAAAGCGTCCTAGTCTTAGAAAACAGCTTGACCGGTTCAGCAAAATTAGAGCAAAGTCTGACCCGTCTCCGAGTTGACGAGCCAGTTGCAGGGCTTCTGTGTGCAAATTGCATGCTTCCACAAAGTTTTCCTGACGAAAATATGCGGTCGCACATGCAGCGATCCTTTCCATCTCAGATTTCAACCCTAGGATGAAAAAAATAAGGTGCGTTAATCGATATCATTTTAGCATTTTTCAGGATTTACCAATGTGGCTACTTGTTGGCATTACTTTTCAAGCAGCAACTACTCAACCCAAATGATGACCACTATTAGGGCCTGCTCACTTACAATCACAACCTGAGAACATTCGTAGGATAGTTATGCGTATACTGAAAAATTCAGCTGTCTCAATTAAATCTTTGTCGGGGGTTGGTTCTGTCGAAGCCTGCTAGAAAATTCTACAGCCTGAAAACCGTACGACGTCTATAATCAACATGACCAACCGTTATCAGCTGATTAATTGCCACAGTTGGGCCTACTCACCTTCGATCGTCTAACGATGAGGCTATCATAGGATATTTATGCATGTGTACTGCGACTTAGATCATTGTCGGAATTTGGCCTTGTTCACCAGGACACACAGCCCAACCTACTGTGAACATCATATCGCCGTCATTAGCTAATCAATTGCCAGAGTTGGTGACCGCGTTGTACTCTTAGTCTTCAGTTTCAAATATAACAAATTTACTTTTGTCTGTTACGTACCTTCACCACTTCCACGTTCCAAGCAGAGAAAGACTTCCGATCCCCTGCGAGCGTAGTGGTCTGCCCTTTTCCCATCGGCGTTACGGACGTCTGCGTCCAGCCCAGCATTAAGTAAAAGTCTTATTGCCCGCAAGGCGCATCTCTGGATGGTCTGACGCTCTCTATCGGCCATGGCAACTACATGCAGTAGGGTGTTGCCTTTCGCGTCGGTAGCTTGAAGCGCTTTGATGAATCGCGTCTTGAGAGACTCGCAGATTATCGTCATCACCGGAAGGCTATCTTCTCCTGCCCATACAAAGTCAGATCAAACAATTCAATTGCTAGACTGTTCTGTGTGCGTGTGCAATGATAACAGTACCTCATAGGTTCATACTAGTCCCAGTTCTCCATCTGCAACTGATACGCCGAGCAAGAGGAAGAGCAAATTAGAAAACAATGATATCAGTAATGTACCAAAGGCAACGTTATTTCTGTTCTTCAAAATTGTGCACACAGGGTAACAAACTCGTACCTTTCCCGAGTTCCACCTTGAGTAGTGCATGCATGGGCGTGTCTCCCTGCTCTAAGGTGAAGCCTCCTAATCCAGACCCGTGCTGTAGAAGTACACGGATGGTGTCACGGATAGTGTCACAGATAGATTGAAGTGGCGGGGCCATGTAGAGATACAGTAAGGTCCCCAGGTTGATCATCGACGCGTCGCAGCCGGTTACGATCCCCCCACTGTTTGGTCTGTATCCGCCACCACCACTGGAAGCAAACAACGTCAACGTTCATGTTATCGACGGGATCACAGCGGTCAACGCAAGCAATGTTACAAACAGGAATGGAAGATCACACACAATACTACGATGCCACATTATCTATCCCACTTACCAAAAGAACACAGCGTGCACAAGTTCCCACTTCTGCTCTGCCACCAGTCGTTCCACCAACATGTTGCGAAGGCTCTGGACAGGTTGCACGCTATGCAGTATCATTTCCACATCGCCAACTGTAAGGGAATGAAATCTTATTTGGCACTCACAAATTGGTATGTTCTATTGCAAGTAACCATAGGGTAGTAAAAGATCATACATATAACACATGTACAGCCCAGCCTTATTTAGAGACCAATTGACTTTTAGTAGATTTCTTACAGGAAAGCCATGCACCTACCTGGAACATTTGGAATCACTTCAGCCATACGGAGTAAGAATGTCAGCGGTTCTTTGTCCAGAGGTCTGCCTAATCCGACCGCCATGAGATATCCATCGCGAAGGAACTCAAGTGCCTGGTTGAATGACTGCAGCGCTAGTGCGGCCTCGCCAGCTTTGTCGTAACCCTACAAAGGGGTAACAGAAACAACAGAAGTTTGGTTCTGGAAGCCAAAGAAACGGACCTTTCCGGTCGAACACCGTAAACCCCGCCCCCTTTTTCATTTCGAACACCTCGGTCAAAATCAGTGCGAGAAGGGCCGCGCAGGCCGCCGCCGCCAGAATGTCGGTTTTGCTGCTCAACTTTAAGGTCGAGTTTTCAGCAGCGGAACACTCTCTCAGCAGCCCCAAATAAAAAAGAGAGTTACGCTAATTTTTTTTTCGCTCGCGGACGCGGGATGCGCCGCATAACATCACACGGTAGGCTGACAAGAGTGCCCAGTTGCTGACAAACAGCCGATGCATGTGTTACGCAGAGTACATTTATCTGTGACAGGTTTTCCACGACATTTTCGTGCATACATCGCAGCCAGGGAAAAAACGAAATGAGAAAAAGACAGCTCGGGTGGTCACGAAGAAGGGCGCAACTTATAAAGGACTTTGTGATACAAGTAGAAACATCAGCACACAAACGTGGACATAAACAATAACTAGAGAGGCCGACATTTGCTTGGGAGCAAATACAGCATATTTCAGTCCATCTCCCTCCCACGCAAAAGTGGACTATTCCAAGCTCACCCCAGTGTAAAACTGGCAAAGATTCTCAAATAAATGAATTATATAGTAGCTATGTAATTGAGAAGAAAGATGCAAGAACAAGCACATTGAATCTCGAAAGCTTTACTAATCTTATTACAGGTATGCAAATACTAACAATGATGAGATTTGATACATTTTGAAGGTCTTAGGCACATAAAATTGAATGTGATGTGTGGGTCATTAGGCACGACTTACGTGCAATGTGACCCCAGGTAACCCGCAAGGGAACACGTGTTCTATGGCCAACGGCAGATGGAACGGGCCATTCTTTAGATATAACATGGAACGGGTACAGCACTTTTGGCCCTTTTTTTGCTGAAAATAGCCATTAAAGTTCCCCAAATGAGTCATTTGGAAGTGGTGTATGCCAAATATGTGACTGCTATTCTGTAGACACATGTTCAAGGTACCCTTATACCGAATTTCAGATCATTTGGTTGTAAAACCAGTGCTCAGGATCCAAAAATCCATTTTTTGGCGAAAAATGCCCCAAAAAACTTTCATAAAAAATTTTCAAAGGCATTTATCAAAAAAATGAAAAAAAAAAACGCCTGGGGGTATTGGCCCACTCTACCTCCATGCCAAATTTCAAGTCATTTGGCTGAATGATGGCCGAGTTGAATCCCTTTGACCGTTTGGCAGGAGAAGAAACATGAGAGAACACAATATATTTCATCCATACCAAATATAATGAGGGCTTCATAAACAAATACAAGAATGACAAAACGTCCTTGGTTAACTTGAAATTGCCTCCGATGTCACAAATTCACTTTCACCGGTAAAACAAGGAGTATTTGTCAAGTAGACATCAACTCATTTTGCTTCTCTTAGACTTTCCCGAGATTTTGACCGAGGTGTTCGAATAGAACAGGGGGTTCGACGTGTTCGATCCGGAAAGGTCCATTATGACGTTCTTTGACACGTCAGATCATCGTGTGCGACATGACATTGTCTCACTGGCATCATTTTTAACCATACGTATTTAACGCCGTGAGTTGAGTAACTAAAACATTGACTTTGATAAAAGTAACAAATTTTGACACCTTTTTTTTGCAGAAAAGCTTATTGATACACTGGAAACTTTACACTGGGCATTCCATAGATGTGTGGCTTACATCTTGAAGCAAACTAATGTCATACCTTCAGTCTTGTCGGGTGGACGCTGATGGCCTCTTGTGCACCAAAAAATGCCAGATCAAAGCGTCCGAGTCTTAGAAAACAGCTTGACAGGTTCAGCAAAATTAGAGCGATGTCTGACTCGTCTCCAAGTTGAGCCGCCAGCGGCAGGGCCTCTGAGTACAAATTGCTTGCTTCCGCAAAATTTTCCTGATGAAAATATGTGGTAGCACGTTTTGCGATCCTTTCCATCTCAGATTTCAGCCCTAGGATGGAAACAAATTGAGGTGATTCTCGTCTTAGCCCCTTTCAAGAGTTACATATGTGCTTACTGGTGGCGGCATTCCTTTTGCATCAGCAACTATACTGGTAGTCACCCGAAATGAAATACTGAGCAATGTTAGGGCATGGTCACATATGTAACAGTTGTATGTCGCACGATCGCGTCTCACGATCGCTGACTGAGGGCATTCCTGGGTTAGCCATGCATATGTAATATAGGCATGTGGCTTAGATCCTTGTCGGTGGTTGGTTGTCACAGGCTGCTAGAAACTTCTACAACCTGAAAATCGTACGATGATAACTACGAAAGTGACCTCGCCTTTATTAGCTGTACAATTGCCACCTGATGCTAAATGTAAATGTCGAGGTCTAAGATGTTCCAATGCAACAGAACTTGATATGATACAGTCATTTTTGCAACCTCACAAATATTTCTCAACTTACACTGGGTAAGGGGCTCAGAGGAAACATTTGCTTTGATGAAAGAATCTTCTAGTAATTGCTTTGATGTGTTTTTAGGTGCTCCTTCCAATATAATCGTGATAGTCGGTTCATACATGTACATCTACATGCCTCCATAGAAAATGCGCTCATAATCCCATATCAGCTTTTGGTTGAGGGATGTGTCTGTAAAGGGAGTGGTTATATCCTCTATTTCCACATTTTAATGCAACTTACCACATGTGATGGCTTTATCTTAGATATGTATATGTATAGCATGTATATACAAGCCTGAAAAACACAAACGCAGTATATTCTCATACACACCCTCCCCATAAAATGGGCGGTCCTGAAACCTTTGGTCCTCCTGTACCTACAGCCACATTGGGTAGTAACTTTCATCTAGTCATGAAACTAAGTCAGTGTAAATATGAGCTATTACATACTCTCTCCACGCAAACTGATGAAACATTGCTATCTGCGCGAGAATGAACCACCAAAGTCCTTGCAAAACCATACCCTACACCCGGATGATGATTTCAGCCCAGCGGTTCGAAGTCTAGTTAAGTTGAAAATAGTAAAATTCTCCAATCTAAAAGTAGCCGATAGGCTCGAAAGTACCTATGCAAACACGAAATTTATTGGAGACGAAAAAAACAGAGGATGCATAACGTCATCGAAACGGTATATGTTGGGTGAATGAAAAGTTGTGAACTTAGAGGTCAAAGGTTACACAACTGTTGAACAATGGGAACATGTGCAATGTGAGGCTTGGCCGGAGAGAATTTTTTTCTATTCTTTTTTACTATCTTCTAGCGAGAACGTGGTATTTGTGATTTTGTGCTTTTAAAAGGTGGTGTCAAATCTCCTTTATTGATTTTGGTGTACAAGGAGACATGCACGATATGAATGTAGGCGTAATCACACTTCCAACCGGCTCGTCTTGCTAGTCTCTACCCGGAGTCTTCTCATGTTGCTTGAAGAAAACTTGCCAACAATTTGACAAAGGAGTTAGCGGACAACAATATAGGCAACATGCAGAGACTACGTCATGCATGGTCGGTGCTGAACGGACCCTGTTGTTGACACTGTGTATTTGTTTTGTTTTCTACCCTGTGCCTGTTTGCACCTGTCCCTGCCCAAGCCTTGACAGTTCATGTATTAGAACACTCTAAGGCGGTTGTTTGTTCCTTTATAGAGTGTCAGATACAATGAATTACAGGTGTATGTCATGAATGTCAATGTGATTTTTCATAACCTCATTGAATACTTCGATAGATCAGTGATTGGCTTTAAAAACACCAGTCGCTAAATGTGCTGAATCGACTCTCTAAATATGCTTTATCGATTTTTATGGATCATTTGGAAGTTGCCCCGACATGCCTGGTGGAGGAATCCGTAGGTAGAAATTATGCTGAAACCGCAAACTTCGTGAAAATGATATTCGTGGCATTAACGTTGACGCTGAAATGTATGAAGAGTTGGTGACCGCGTTGGTGTTTTAGTCTTTAGTTTCAGTGTCCATTTACTGATTACTATTGTCCCCAGGCGTGACATGAGTGGAAAACTTCACTTCCTGACAGACATTTGAGGCCTCGTGATACGAACGGTCTAGTCGAACTCCAACAAGGGAGGCATGAAAAAATCATAGTCTAGGCCTGGTAATAGCTGCTGAGTCGATCTTTGTTTTGCGGAGCTGAGGTCGATCGCGACAGAGACTGCGCAGCTATAACAGGTGTGGATACCAGGCTATAAAATTATTTTCTTAGCCCTTAGCTACAACCAAGGAAGTTCAAGATCTTAAAACCCCCTTGCCTTGTAACAATTAGCCGGTTTGTGTAACCATATGGTGCGCTTAATAAGTCTTATCTAGTCTATCTAGCTTCCACCAGGCCTTTCTACGGGAATAAGGATCGTAGCATTCCGCAAAAAGAAGAGTAAAATTGGCCAGGGGAGTCAGTCCGCGGAAATTTGGTTCTTTCCCTCTGAACTGCGCGGCCAGTCAAACCCCAGGGCGGCCAAACTACCCTGTCAAATATTCTCCTATATGTATAGCCAGCGTAGTTAGTCTGGTAGAGACTAGTGTTTATCAAACACAGACTGAACGAGTGAAGTGTACGCACCTTCAATATTACACAGAATAGTTTGACCTTAATGTACATCTTTGTCAAACCGTTAGAATGAAAAGTTTCTCAGGTCACATCTTTAGCTAAACCACGAGTAGCCTCCATCTGACGTTTTGGCCAACTTCTACTATCTTCCGAGCCCACAGAGTCCGGTAGCTATTGAGACTGAATATCTAGACCCGGAAGTGAAATGAACTACACATATTAACAATAGTAGCCCAACTTCCCTTTTCTGGAGCTATGTGAGTATATATTCCCTGCCCTCACTTTAGATCTTTAACAAACGCTCAGTTAACCTTCTTATGTTATCTTTAACGTTGTTTCTGATGTGAGACAAGAGGAGAACAGCTTACGTGACTGCTGCTGTCGGTTAGCTTGTCCGGGTGGCGGGAAGGACCACTGCCATGGCGGCGTTGCCATCTTGAACTAACAGCCACCAGCTGGCGGTGCGTTCCTCAAGGTGTGCCGAAAACTTCCTATCGTCCCGCGTACTCAAGTCAAAATGACTTGCACCTCAGGAATGATAAACTTTTATCATACTTTCGCCGATCAATGTACCAGTCTGTAACTGCACCGAAACCAGCCCCGATGCTCCACAAACAACAAACAACACACCGACGAAAACAATGCAGTGACGGATAACCTTACCAAATGACGTTATCGAAACTAGGTGCGGCGGTAAGCAAACAAGGAGGAGTGTAAAGCGGGTACAAGCATGTGATCAAAGTTTTAACTACTGCTAGTGAGGCTGTAGTAGGCCCTTGGTCGGGTCTCGCTTCACGTGTTCTCAAAACCCACCTGAACATTCGGCCTGTCAGAAGTACCCAATATACTGCTATCTGCGAGCGTGTACTTGTATTTTCCATCTTTTCAATCTAATGCGGGAAGATCTGGCGGTGGTCGGTGGAAAGCGAAAGACGAGGAGAGAGAAATGGACGCGGAAATGACTCAAGACGGTTAGGTTAAACTTTCTTGCAAGAGTTTCATGATTCTTCTGTTCGGCGACTCTACGGAATTTTTCCCATAACTTCTCCCGGAGTTTCACCACGGGTACCTCGTCTACTACAAGGCATAACGTGCAGTGCAGTCACGTAATTAGTGGCTGCAAGCGGCTACGAGAGGTGACGTAAGTGACGTATAACGTGTCCAATCAGAAGTGAAATTTTTCATCCTCGTAAATTTCATTCTTGCTGTAAAGGTTTGTATTTTCTAAAATTTATTCTAGCCGGATGTCATGTGTTTGAACCTTTGTGTATCAATGAGAAGCTCAAGGTTAAATAAAGATTGAAATTTTTTACTACGGTGCATATACCTAGTGGCCCAATAACTTCAGAGGATATGCAATTTCTTGATTGCTGGTATACCTTTGCCACAGTGACACAAAATGACTTTTGGCTAACCGTTTATATTCAAATTTATTCACATTTTTTTTCAATTCAGCTCCAAGCTTTACAAAGAATGTCCATTGTCCTTTTTTTTCACACAAGCAGCTAAAATATGTTACCTATATCTCCAAAAATTACAAAATCACCAGTCACATATCAAGCATCTTTTACATTATATCTGAGCTAATTCTTCTATAAAGTACTTTAACTACCAGCATTTATATACAAATGGTAAAAATACATCATTGATCAAAATTTCCTAATTGAGTTGTCTTGGTTATCTACTGCACCCCTCTACTCTGATCCTTTCAACTATCTAAGTTTTCAAGTCTTGTTAAATTATCCTTAAAGCATTTCTGTATCTAGGATTACATGTAGTGTGTTCCCAAAATGGCACCAATATTTTCAATGGTAAATGATGAAGGAGTGTAAAAACTTAATCAACAAATGTTTAAAGTTAAAACTTTTGATCCAACACAAAAATTCTCTCACCTAGAGCTTTCAACCAGTCACTCTGGTCTTCCTCAGTAGACTGACCCAGTGAAGCTTGTCACGTGGCTTCTTTGAAGTGTGACGTCAACACTGGGTCAAAGGTATCTGGTAGACGATGTCGGCCCCCGTCGCGGTTCAATGTAGGGTGATGGGCCCTGATGTAAATGGCTTCCTTCACCCCTCTCAAGAAATAGTCTTGTTCAGTGTCTAAAATCCTTACAGTGTCAAGTGAGACATGGTGTCCGGGTGACTCTATGTGAATGTGTTGAGACACCTCTGACTATTTCTTGAGAGGGGTGAAGGAAGCCATTTACATCAGGGCCCATCACCCTACATTGAACCGCGACGGGGGCCGACATCGTCTACCAGATACCTTTGACCCAGTGTTGACGTCACACTTCAAAGAAGCCACGTGACAAGCTTCACTGGGTCAGTCTACTGAGGAAGACCAGAGTGACTGGTTGAAAGCTCTAGGTGAGAGAATTTTTGTGTTGGATCAAAAGTTTTAACTTTAAACATGTAACTACCAACACAGATGAACTTTCATGATATTAATCAACAAATGATGTAACATTCTTGAGTTACAAGGCTGAGAAGCTGTCAACTTTTTATGGTGTTCCAAGCACTAACCCAAGTCAAGATATGAGAAAGGCCTTGACTTGTGGATGTGATAACCAACTAACTACTACTAATATACCGAATGTTTAACATACAAGTGATAAAATCTGCCAGTAAATGCCCAAATGGTTGTCACTTTCCTGCATGGTATTAAGAAGAGGAAGAAGACCTGTACAGCAGACACCACTACACCTCCATCCATCCGACTCTGCCCAGTGTCGGCAACACTTTCCGGCAGTGCCATCATCCGAGACATAGCTGGTGTCCAACAATGTACAGGGTCATAGTTTACAATGCACAAGCCTAAACACACCAGTCACATATCAACAGGGCCCTCTAGTGAATGCACCTGGTACTGTAAGGCTTATACAAGGCTTTAGAATAGGCACAGCTAGCAGTAAATACCTACAGGATGTTGGAAAACAAACTTATTGTATAAAATGATCAATATTGACAAGTACTGTGGAAGGCACAAGTAATACTGCATAAATATTACCAAAATAAAATGTCTTTCGGTCTCCCTTCACACTTTCCTGATATGTCCTTAGTTCAGCATAAACATTCTTGGCAGATTCTGAAATTCTGAGAAGTACTCAGATTTGGAAAGACGATATCATCAATGACACACTCCTGCACAGCAGATAATAAATATAGTCCCACTACCTCTTTTAAGTTGTGTCTTGCAACATGAAAAAACAAAAAAGGGGGTTCATGAGCCAATCGTAATATATCTTGGAATCTAATGTACACTTAACAGTGGAATCAATGAAGTACTAATGGTGGTTGAAGAGGCCACAACAATTTACTTTGTTGGTTCTTAGATAATAAAATACTCCTGAACTGGAATATCAGCATGAACACAGACTCTGAGGGGAAATTCTGGACCTTGATTCAGTTTTAGGGAGTGAATACAAGTACAGTTTTCCTCCCAGACCTCCATTTTATATTGTTTTATCACCCTCACTTTAAAATGTCCTAGAACCAAGAAAATTAATTGGCATGGCCTGATGGCAAGGCTCAGTCCGTTGGCTACCATCTGTTTATTCCTCCTGCACCCCAGCCTTCTTCATTCCCTCCTTCAGGAACTTGCTGTATGTGACAGAGGCTGGGTCCATCCACCTGCACAAGAACAGAAGGAATGTTGAGCCAGGAGTGAAGTGTCCATATAAAGATACAGTAGAGATAAAGTAACAACTTACAATATCAATCATTCATATGCAGATGTCAGTTGCTGATTCATGGCTCTCCAGGATATGCTATTTTTGGCACAGGACCTCCATTTGGCCCTGGTGAGCCCTAGGATAACAGGAATATTGTAGACTTAAACTCACTTTGAACAAAGGGACATTGGTTTACCAAAATTTTCAACTGAATCCCACACCTTCAGAACAAATTTCTGTCTCATTTCTTGCACACTTCTTTTGTTACAGGATTTTAAAGAGGTTATTACAGAACTAACCATCTGTCAGTAATATCATACGTCCAGAGTATGATCATAAGATTTCCCATATCATTATACTTTATCTCCATACTCACTGCAGCATGTTGCTTGCCACATCATAAGATTCACTGGAGCTCATATCCAGGAGATGGTTAGCATTGAGGTGATGAAGAACAGTACCGTTTGGAAGTGACACCATCATTTCTACCGGAAACCTGGGAGCGTTTGAGGCAAACATGGGAAGTTGTCAGAACATCTACTGAGAAACACACCACAGAACTGGAAAAACATGGAGAGCTTTTCACTCTAAAACTATAGGTTCTCATATAATCTCACATCATTACACTATCCAAATACCAGTCTCTGGTTACACCAGGGTCTGCATAATTATGGAAACTCTCTAATGTATAGTTCCATAATTATGCAGACCCTGGTGTATAATTTTGTAGAAACTTTCCTACAAAAATCTAAGAACCATAAAATTGAATTGGTGTGATTTCAGTTTCCATATTTTCCTACAACAACAACAGTAATATGAGACTGATAAGTGACTTACACATAAGCATCCAGGGCCAGCGTGGCCAGCTCCTTGTGTTTGGGTATGGAGGAGTTGGTCTTGATGTCCTCCAGCTCGGCGACGAGCACCCAGGTGCTGACGAAGTGGTCCGACAGCATCTTCAGGATGGGCGAACTCTCCAGGGGGCCCTCCCGGAGTGTCCGCCCCGATCCTGGGGTGGCAACCACAGGTCAAGGTTAGTGTTATACGTGTGTAGTGTGGAAATATGAAAAGGTTCTCCAACTCAAAAGATTGGCAGAATTTTCAACTGACCCACATGTCTTAACTGAACTTTTGTAATGACATTTTAAGGAACATTTTCCACAATACCTCAGCAGGACTGGTCATCCAGTGCCCCCCACAGCAGAATGGAATGGACCAGTTTGTTTTCTGCCTCAGCTCGGCTGAAGGCTTCAGTGAAGTTGTAGTAAGGCACCTGGGGACACAAACAGAAATATTTCTCTTCAACATCAACTAGTCACTACCAGCAAGGCACAACAGCCAATCAAGGATATGGGCTACATGACATTTTGTGACATGCCAAGTTGCCACAAAAATAAACAAATTTACACTATAAGTACCGTTTTAAATGGGTACATCTTGACTTCCAGGCTCTTCATAGCTTCCTCCATGCTGATCTCTGTGTTCCACTTGATGTCTTTGTGGTCCTCCTCCATAAAAATGGTCCTCTCCTGTTGTGTAAATGTAACACTAAGTTTAATGAAAAGCAGCCTGATAGTTTTTAATAATGAATAAACAAAGGCTAAAAAAAGCCAACCACCCCTAGACACAACCCACATTAAACAGTCCAATCCAATTTGACGTAGTTAAGACCCTCTTGTCTGGAGCAACCCCTACCAGTCACCAACCAGTTCCTTTAGTGGTTGTTGATTACAGGCTTGACAACAAACAAACAATAAACATAAACAAAACTTTCCTCGCTCAACTCGGCTTCGCGCTGGTCGATGAAGGAGCCGTCCTCCTGGTAGATGAGGACAGGCATGGACGGGGCGACGGAGGTCAGTGCAAGCTGCGGGATGTACCCGATGTCCACCTCCATGTTCTCTTGCATGGTACCGTGCATCCACTCCATGTCTGCAACATAATCATACTTCTTAACCTCCTTTCTTCCATCAATCATTGATTATTTCATTAATTCCTTCTCTTCATTCATCCATCAAATATATTGCAAAGCATGCATGTCAGATGAGTAAAAACAGCCGGGATTTGAACTAATGATGTCTTGGTCCAGAGGCAATGTTAAGGCCTGGACTATGCACTACAGGGATTGCTTTTCACAACACTACATGTACGTGACTCACCCATGTTGAGTGACCTGTTGGCAGGTTTGTACAGATGGAAAAGTTTTACAGTGTTGTGCACATTTCTGGGTACTGGTGAGAAAGTACTCACCCACATTGAGGGACCTGTTGGCAGGTACATAGAGGTGAAAGTGTCTGACACGTGACGCGTCCCTGGTGAGGATGATGTTACCGGTGAACTGGGCAGGGGTAAACCAGAAGGGGTACAGCGGCGGCTCATTCAGCTGGAACTCTGCATGGATCCTAACAAATGGACAAAAACTGCTTTAGTTGGATGGGTACCGGTTTGTTGAACTGAATATACACATACCAGGTAGGTGGTAAGCTGCTCAAGTTAGACAGTATCACTACAACACTACAATGTTTGTCTCTCTTCTACAAATACATTCAAAACAGTACAAGAAGACTACTCAAGGAACCAAGGAAATCTGGTCTGTGTGAATGGATGGTCAATATAGGAAGGATTCTAGTGTCAATGAGAAAAATGTGGTCATCTTGGTCAGGCAGGTTTGAGAGGTTCTCTTATGGTTCAAAACATTACAGTCTCCAAATAGTAGTCTCAAAGTCCTTCTGCAGCAACAATTTCTTTCCACATACACAATGTACTGCAAATTGATGGAACTCCCTCCCAAACAACCCACGAACCTTCAAAACTAATGTTCACCACCAGTCACCTACACCTCCCACCCACTTCAACCACGTAGCCAGTACCTTATCCTATTTTGTCTGACCCTGATCTCTTCCTTTATGACCTCAATGAAAAGAAACCACTAGTTTGGATACTTCATGGATAAAAGAAGGTTCAAACAAGTAAAAACTGCTGAGAGACCTGAACACCACGTCCACCCAGCGCTCGTTCTCTGCCCTAACAGTTGCCACGGCACCCTGCGGACCGAAGCGCATGTACACGAAGGGCCTGGGGTGGAACAGGCCCAGCAGACGGTGGAGGATCACTTCCTTGCCGGACACTTTAGGGGGGAAGTAGCGATAACTCGACAGCGATCCTGCAAAAGGAAGAAACAGTTATGTCTTCTGGTCAAAGTAAGGATCCTGCTAATGTGAGTATACCGTATCTCCATCAGGTTTGTACGGCATTTACAAGTTAACATCATTCAACACAAGAGTGAAGAAACTAACTGTAGCTATGTACAAAACATTTTAATTTACGTATAAATAAACATTGTCTTTTTCAGTGAAATTGTTGTTTTTGTTGTATGAAGGTTTACACATTTTAATCAAAAGATTTCCAAGTGCTAAATTGTCAAAATTGTCATCTTTGAGATGCAATTGACAAATCTTTTGTGTAAAAATAGTGTCCACTAGTGTTTTATACTTTTCAGGTACAGGTACATCAGATGTTCTGGTCCATTCCTATATCTACACAGTTTTACAGGTAGGGGTGTTAGGTACAGCAACTGTGAACACCTGAGAATGTGCTGAGTTGGGAGGGGAGGATCTCATACGCTGCCCCCAGCACACCGTAGGCCGCCGGTGGTGGCAGGAAGGGGGTGAAGTGGCCAGCCCCAAAGGATGCCAGTTCCTGTACCGGCTCTGTCCACGATGTCAGCCCCTTCAGGTTACTGTTACTCAAAAACTGGCAGGAACAGAGAACAAAATTCAACACCTGTGACCATTTCGGCAGCAAAAAATAGATTGTCAAGACATTAGTAGTTGCCACAAATGAGATTAGCATGGGGTTTGGAACAGTAATACAAGGATGAGTCTGGCTATGTATTGGGCAACATTAGTATGAGTTACAATGTAGACATGGCCTCCTGTAGGTCTGTCTATTAAGAGATAGATGACTATCTTTTAATACATGGGCTTTTTGGTGACTAAATCAATATACAAATACATGTATAACTAGAGGTCGGAGATCTCATGTCTTCGTCAGAGGTACATCGTTCTAGAGAAATTAACATGCGTATTCTTCAATCTTTTTAATAATCAATTTGGTCTAAAGAACAAAAGAATCTCTGTACTATTTTTATGGTACAGAACACCCTGAAACGGTTTGCCGCAGATAAAACAGATGCGTCGTCACCCGTGTTAGCCCCCCCCCCCTACGTTATTTGAGTTTGGACTGTTACTGGAAAAAAACGTTCAAGAAATTCTTACTGTGTTGAAAGTGTCACGACAGCGCCGCAAAATATAATAAGAGAAGATGTTGTAAAGGAAAGAATCAGAACAGGGTGACTACTGCTGTTTTGTTAATTTGTCTTTATGACAAATAGAAGACTTGTTTCTTGTGTTCTTTGTGTCCTAACATTTGTACTTCTACAGTTAGTATATTCCAAATCTAGGCATCTCGTTTTTCGGCCCTTCGTGTTTGTATTGCGCGCTTGCCTTAAATTTAAGGTAATTAGTATTTAAGGTCTCCCGTGGACGTCATCCATAGCAATTACTTGGTGTGGCCGTAGAAAATAACCTGACATATGTCCAACCTATCCTCCCCCTGCTGAAGTTATAGTACAATCCCTCAATGTAACGTCATTTGATCCCATCCCATTATGGGGTTCCCCGCTATATCCAGCTGTCGGCTGTCTCCAAGCAGATGTAGGTGGGGGATTTCTAAACACAAAAGGTCCTATTACGGGGACATAACGACCTCCACGACTCTCATCTTTGAACTCAATCTTGGAGACCACGACAGTAATATGCCTATCAAATTTCATTAACTTCCATCCACACATACAAAAGTTATCCTGCTCACAAGAAAAATTAACAAAATGCCCCCTGTAGTCACAACGAAACCCCCCACGAAGCTCAGTAACGAACTTAACCTTGGTCCTGACAATAGTAAGCACCACACCAAGAATTATAATCAACATTTTACAAATACTTGAGTTATCTTGCTAACAAGCCACAAACACAAAAGGTGCACTAACGTGACGCACGGACCCCCCACGAAGCCAAAACTTGTACTTGACTTCGGCCTTAACAGCGGTAATCTGCCTGCCAAAAATCATGGACGTCGAATCATGCCTTCCAGAGTTATATCGCAAAATCCGCAGTTCCCCACACTCCGGCGAGACAATTTCATAGTCCTTCTGACGAAGACAATAATGTAGGTGCACCCAGTCAAAAATCAGGTGCACAGCTCCGATACTGGGTGCACAAAAGTTCATCATGTGCACCCAGTATTTTGAGCCCTGCAGAGGGTACTTACGCCAAACGGGTTTTTGTCCTTGGACATGGAGGAAAGCACGAATGGCGTAAAGTGTGTCTTCAGCACAATCATCTCTCCTGCAGGGTCTATCTCCTCGTCAATGGGAAAGCTTGTCTAGGGAAAGAGAATAAAAATCTGTGATTTAAAGCAAACATAGTCTACAAGGTTAATAGGCAATTTTATAGATCATCAAACAATTAAGTACAGAGTCTGAAATACCTGCTACATAATGTATATCTATTAATGTATGCATCAATTTTAAACCTTCTCCCTGCTGCCAAGCCCCATAATGGAAACAAATTTGGGGCCAAACAGGTATATGTATCTTTATAGGCTGAAGGTTAATGGATTTTTAAAACCATAAAAACTGTCTTGATTTAATATAATTATTTTCTTTCCTTAATGCTCAAACATAAATTTGTACAACTATACATGTACATGTAAATGGCCCCCACTCAATTTGGGCTATTATATCAGATTAGTAGTAGTCTGTTATGTGGTAAAATATAAGTTCAAGTTTAAAGTACATGTGATCAATTCACAGGATAGCTAATAACATCTCACAGACAAGAAAAGCTTTTCAGAACGACTCAATCCATGGAGTGACAGTCAGTATCTCTGTAGCACAGTTAGTTAGTGGTCCTGCTACAATGTGCTTTTTCACAATGATGTGGAAAGTCATATATAGGTTAGAATCCCCAAACCCCCATCTTGAATTATACTGGAGGGGACTACAGGGAATGTTAAGTCTTCAGTCCCATGTATGTGGGAGCCTCTTAAATCCCTGCGCCCAACACATAGGGGTGACCCGGTGTGTTTGGCCAAATTCTTGGGGATATTACATGCTCATGCCCTTTCTCATGTTTAACCAAATGATCTGAGACCCTTCAAGACTGCTTACAACATTCCACTGGGCATGGCTGCCATTCCCCACTGGCAGACAGACCTGCAATTTGTCACCAAACTCTTTAGCTTGGCATCTCCTGCCAGGGTACACAAGATTGCTGGTGCTAAACCATGTTTGCTGATTCAGCCCATTGAAGGACCTGCTCTCACACCCTGCCTCAATATAACAAACAAGTCTGAGGAATGAGTGGAAACTATAGAAGTGTGATGACAGTGCCTCCGAAAGGTTTATTTTAATTGATAACAAGATTTGACCCATCCACAGGAAGCATTTATTTTCATTTGAATCTCAAGGAGAGCACAGAGGTAACTGCCTTTTGATACAATCCCATGTGCTGTCTTACTTGGACATACACTAATTTTGTACCATCAATCTCCAATACAAAAAATTCTCTTTGTTTTTTGCTTGTACTCTTGACCATCTCTGCAGAAAGGCCTCCAGTCCACTTTCTGGGAATGCCTTAGATTACTTTTCTCTGCGACCCAAACATGTTAATGCTGGCCACCGGTCTAATGTGACCTTTCTTCAAGTCCCTTCAGGGGTCACTACAGGCAGGTATGACTGTACTTATAAGCAGTTTTAGCCAAAGCTCTACAGTCTGTTGGGAGCAGAAATCATCAGCATTGTTACTGAAAGTAAGTTGACTCTTGTATAAACATGTGGCAAGCACCACCTCAACAGCAGCGTGTCCCCCCTTCATTTTCCAGAGTTCTTGAACCCTGACGTCAACATACAGAACCAACACCTGCAAACTGTGAAGAGCTCCTGGATATGCAGAGAAGCCAGTCACATGTAAACTGGAAGCCAGAGTGTTGCCAGGCCTCACACTGGCCAGCTTCTGGCTCAAGGGCTAACATGCCCCAAAAGAAATGATTGGGGATGGGAAAAGTTTCCTTGGGGGACATGTCAGCCTTAGAAGAGGGCCTGCAAGCCCTTTTTCGTAAGGCGTAATCAGGCCGTCTTAGACTTCATAATTCGTAGGCAGCCTCCGCAAAAATCAACGTAATTCGTAATTGGGCATTAGCCGCAAATCGTAAAGTCGTAATCAGCTCTGAGACTTTAACGTAATTCGTAATAGGCGGCGAAAATTTTGCGTAATTCGTAATCTCTATCCCCCCTTGCAGGCCCTCTTAGAAGCGGGTCTTTGCAAGTAGAGCCCTGGCAAAGTCTGGACCCAAGACAGTAACCTATGGCTTCCAGATCGCTTTCATGAAGTATGTCAAAACAGGCTACTTCAGAACTCATTTTGCTGCATTTTGTAAAACGTGATCAGAGACTTTGGAGCAGACTCAAACACAACAACCCTGGTATTTAGACTAATCATGTCTCTGCTCTCCTACTCCACACACACCTGACTTAATGGGTGACACCTGTGTGCACATTGTGGCTTGGACCTGTGTCTTGAAGTTGAAAGCTTAAAGGAAAACAAACTTTCATTTCAAACAAGCAAAAATGTGGTAAAATTTAGCTGCCAAAAATTAGCAGGCTGTTGTAAATGAGGCTAGCCTGACAGAACCAGCCCAACTGGCTCATGTGCTTTCTCAGAAAGGCTGGCTTCTCTGGCAAATCATTACTTGAGCCCTGGGAGTGAATTTTTATTGGGATTGGGAATAGATTAAATTACCTGTGTATGTATTGTGTATGTGTGTGTATTTACAATACATGTATCTGCTATTTCCAATACACACGTAATACAGTGTTGCCATACATTTTTACCTTGGGGCTGGATGGGGGGAAAAGCAGTATGTGTAAGAGGGTGAAGTCTGCCATCTCTGATAGCTGTGTTTCCATAGAATATCACAATTACCCCACCAAGCATCTGCTTGGAGATTACATCTTTACACACAAGCAGCTGACAGACAGGGTACAGATGGCCAGGACCTAATCTTACTGTCAGATCTGCCCTGGGCAACCTGGCCATTAGTGTGAATTAAGACATAGTGGTTTCTGTTCATACTCCTGGGAATACATGTAAAACTGGCAGTCTTGTGATGGCACAGGAGGGGTGGTTTCTGGGGTCTAGTGGCACATCAAAAAGGAGAAGGTAGTTGTGGGCAGCAGGTTGTTGATGATCCACTGTATCTAGGTCACAGTATTGGAAGGCAAAGTGGCACATCATTAAAGAAAGCAGGTTTGATTGCTGTGGCAATATTCTATATATAGGGAGGCCACTTGTTGTCCGAAAAGTACTGGGTGAGAACTGTTCTCTTCAAATAATCCTGACTGTTAGAGGAAGCTCAAACTAGTCAAAGCTAAACAAATCTGCACGTCAAGTTTGATAAGAATTTTAGTATGCAAAATCAAACAAACATTTGAGTCTAAAAGAATTGGAATCTTGATTCTTCTTTTTCGCAGTCACATTTTGAAAAGTTAAACTTGAAGTGCTCATAGTTAAAACATTGATCACTGAATGATACTGATACAATTTATGGATTGACGTCAGTCAGCTTGCAAATTTATATCCTTGACTTGAGGAGTTGAGGTACAATGTGTATATACACAGTACAGACGTCTCTCTCCGTAGGTCTCCCACATGCTGACCTGAACACAAAATAAACTGTCCCAGATCTGGCTTGTCTGGACCTGGTACAGAATTTACCTAGAATGCTGGTACCTAGCATGTATACAGTCCTTTCTACATTTTTTGAAGCTGTGTATAAATGAGAGAGTTAAACTTTATCCGTACTTCCTCCAGTGTATAATGTCAAATTTTATTACGTACAGTTTAGAGAGGATTATGTTTGATCTTTCCTTGGCAAGATATTGACCTAAGCATATAGCTATATTAAGTTTGTACTTATTATTTTATCAGTTCAATAGTAACATCAAGAAGTATGACCAATTGTAATGAAACTCGCAATTTAGCCACATGGCTGCAAAGAGCTTTACAAATAACCTGAGTGGCAGTCTGCCTGTCTAAATCAATTTTTCAGACCGGATGTATCACTCATCACAAGTGAATTCATCACAAACCTTTGGTTGGAGTCAACTTCAGACTTCCAGGCGACATCTTGCAGCATTCCTTTCCTAATGAGAAAATATTTTGCAAACAAATTGTCTATTTGGATTGATGCCAAAATTCAAACTGCTCACTGACTGCAAATTTCTTGTTTAAAAGCCAAGTATAGATTTACAGCTTTAGCTGCCTTTGACTTTTGAGAAAAGGGCATGAGAAAATTCTGTGTGAGGTTTTATTGAATTAGAACTTTAACACAGGCTCAACACATGCATCATGCATGTCTGAATATTTCATTAAGTTGCTTATAACGCTTTGACCCTTTTACAGACAAGGTTTTGTTTTATTTCAATCACTGGAACAGCAGCACCTATGGTGGCCCGGACAGTGAGCATGTGGTAGTGGTAATTTTTCCATAAGTGAAGAAGCAAACAAGTAAAATCTGAGATTTTATACCTCCGGGCTTTTTATTGTATATTTTTCTATGTTGTTTGTTCTGTATAGTTGATTGTGTTGAATTTTATGTGTTAGATTTAGCGTTCCTGGACTGGTCAACATTTTCATCTGCAGCCCATACCATGTACCCACGGTAAAAATGCATGTCGAGAACGTCTGAGACAGTATACCACGGTATTTGTAAGTTAAGAAGTCGTACTATACGCCGAAAACATCCAAGATTGCGCAAGAGGGCGTTGACCCCTGACCCATTGGCCCACCCGGAAGTTGCGCTGGCAGCCAGCCCAGCGCCGCGCGCGACGATTTTCAGATTTTTACGCCCCAAAACACATATACAATAAAAACAAAAAAA